TTTGATGTGGTTGTGGGAGCAGGCAAGTACCACTTTTACCTACACTGTCATCATGACCAGAGTCCTCAATAGAGTATCTTCATTGCTTTTTAACAGTAAAAACCAATTATTAGAAAATATAACTCTGATAATTTACACTCCTTTCTATGTTTTTCTATAATCCTCTTACCCCCAACACATATCTGAAGAAGAAGATGAATGGGAAAAATATATTACTAGCATGCTGACATTTCAAAACCACTTTGAAACCTGAAGACATTCATAAATTTAAATCTATTACTTGTTGAGTATTAGTGACGTTTTTGTGTTTGTGAGGCAATAAGAAAAGTGGAGAGTGCTGCTTTATATCAAATGCATACATCTTTCTCTCCTTTACAATAAATCTGAGAAAACAAGACAAAAGTTGCACATGTTTTCAATTGATTTCTTTACTAAAGTTTCTTTCTGTTACAAATACCCCCTTCAAGGACAAAGGCCTGAGGAATTTCACACCCAAACACTAAATAATTATTGGAAAAGATTATACAAGGACAGTTTCTCAAACTAAGGTTTAATCGGAATCATTTTAATCCAATAATCTCTCATTTCTAACAAAAAGTAGTGAAAGAAGAGAAGGGCATGCTGGAGATAACCAGAGCTTCGCAATAGGTACATGAAGGGAGTGGAGGGATGTCTCCTCAATAGTTACGCATGGTGAGAAGTAGGTAAAGACTAATTATTTGATATGTTGGAGGTGTTGGCTCCCCTACGGTAGAAAGCATTTTGCAATATATGAGTGTATGAAATTAACATTGGATGTCTTAAATTTATACAATGTTATATGTTAATTATATCTTTAAAAAGTTAAACTAAAAATGAATTATTGAAAAGCCAGTGGACTACTATCAAATTAAACTCTCTCTGCCTCTGCTTATATGAAATAAAATATGTATTAAACAAACAAGCTTCTTAACAGTTTTTTTATATAAAGGTACACATCTATAAAGTATTTATTTTGCTATTTTGTCCTACTGTAGAAGAAAAGCAAAATTTGGTATTTAGGACAAAATTGTGAGTAATCCTAGTTTATTGTAATATAAATGTTCTGCTGGCCTTCATGAAAATGAAAAGCATTCTGCTGACCTTAATGAAAATGCTTTTCACTAATTTTATAACAGGCAAATACCCCAGTAAACTTTACAAAAAGTTTTTTCTTTAATTCTTATAAAGGTTCATTACAGAAGACAGGTAGTTAACAGTGCTTCAAAAGATAGCAAATGTGTTTTGTACCTGAACTTGAAAAAAACGAAGCTTAAGGAAGTAATTATTTGTGATAGATCACATAATAAAGTAATGCCAGAACCAATAAGACATTTGGGTCAAGCTGTCTTTCTCAGTATAAGAATATTCCTGTCCTACTGGATATTTCCATTCTTATTCAATTCATAATTTCTCATAGAGTCGTCCGACTTGTTTTTGATAATCACAGTGAGTTAAAAATTATTGTTGTTACATAGCAGATATTCATGCATATATGTTAAATGAATGAAGAAAAGACTCTCCTAAATGAACCATATAAACCATTCAGTAAAATTCATTGCCTAAAAAACCATTCATGAAGAGACTGAAACTATGGGATCAAAGGCTCCTAAACTGATCCAAATTCATTCATAGTTTTTAACTTTTAGACAAATATTGGCTTTCCAATAGACACAAGTTTTTTAGTCTGTTCTATCAGGATAAGACAAGAACAGAACAAGGACAATTTGGTTTGGATTTAATGCACGACTGATCTCATAGAACTTTTGATAATTTTACTCAAATTTATTTGAGATCAGAAGTAGTTGCTCATGGACAGTTTTTACAAATACTAGTTTGTATTCTGACATTCTCCTTCATACTCAAGGCAAATTTTTTACCTCTGATACAAAACCAATATTTTAAGCCGTTGAAGTCTCAAGCACAATCTCCATAACATGTGCAATAAGTTTCTTATGCTCTCACATGCTCCAAATTCATCTTCTTTTCCTTCTGGAAAACAATTTCAAATGAATTTCTGATGGAGGAATAAAGCAATTCAAAGTACACAAAGTACATCTGCTCAGTGAATGAAATAGAAAATTTTTAGTATCGCAAAAAATATTTTTCTTGAATTATGCACTATATCTAGAATCTTAGTGGAATCAAAAAAGCTTTTGCAATGATAATTATAAATTGATACTTAAATTATTTGATGACATCTTTAAATGAGATTTTTGGTACAATTAAAAATGACAAACCATTGTGGTGTTCTACTTTATCAAAAAGATATTAAATTGATTTTATACAAATTCTGGATAGCCAAAGTATTCACAATATAATAGTGTTCTTCCATATTTTGTGCCAATTCTCCCTGAAGATATTTGCCTAAATTTTTTAAGAATACCTTTTACTTCTCTTAGTTGCAGAATAAAAATACCAGAAAACAGTATGCTTGTTTTATTAGTTTTCCCCCTTATCCCAGAGAGTAGGAACATGATGTGAAGATTATCATAATGCTGTAATGTAATGAGACTACTTTTCTCAAGCTGCTTAAGAAAACCACTTTTATTCTTCTGGGGTTTCTTCTCATCTGAGCAGAGTAAATTGAGTGAGTAAAGTTACAAAAATGTGGTTATGCTTTAGTCTGAATATGAGTTGATACATGATCCTCACAGGATTCTGAGAAGTATAGACAGGTTCCCAAACCTAAAACTGTTAGCATTCGGCCTGGTTCTGCCTGTCATCTTCAGCATGTATATGATTGTGAGGGAAGGGACTGTCTTGTTGGTGCTGCGCCCCCAGTTTTCATCACGGTGCTCAGGAAATGTGCCTGTTGAATGAATGTGTGGAAGCACATAATGAGTGGGGTCAGAGTGCGTGAAGGTTGGGCCTGGATTTCAAGTTTGCTGACTCCCAGGAGGTGAGAGGCAGGCCAAGCAAACTCATCTTCTAGTCCTGCCTCCGCTTCCAAACTTCTTTGAGGCTGGGGCTGCGCTGCTGCAGCCTGGGAGGCGTGATCCCTGGAGCTGTGCCATGTGGCCCTCTTACTCTTGTTCTTGGAAACTCTGAACAGTCCTCTATCTTCCCTAAAATGTCACTTACGATTTTATACTGACTTTAAATATTCCTAACAACATCAAGTATCGCCTTTCTTCCAGACTTATTTGCACTTTATGGAAACTTGAGGCCCTGAACCAAACAAGTGAGGCTCTTCCTAGGGAGGGTCAACCTCTTACAACGTGTTCTTTTGGCAGAGAGGAACTCCTGTTAGCCAGCCAGCGATCACGGCGAGCATGAAGTGGATGTTAACTTCTCAGAAATCGCTGATCTATTTAGAGTGCATCCAGGGTAATCCTGTTATGAATGGCATCCTTATAAGAGCAGTAACTGATTTGTGCCATGTGGGTTAACCTCCTCTGCCGTGGCCTCCAGGTGTGCTCTGGTTTTGAAGATGTGTTTTATCACTGTCTTAGGAAAACCAAGAGTTGTGTCATGAAGGCAGGAATACATGGAAGCCACGTTTCAGTAAATTTTAAGTACCTAAGATGTGCTATCTGTATAAGAATCAAATCTTATTTTCTGAGGCAGGTAAATACTGAATGTCACATGCTCTTTTTGTGATCTTAGAGTAGAAAGTAATTTTGCACATTCAGTATTGGAAATTCGTAGCTTTCGAATAGGCGTCAGCTATGGTCTGTGGTACCATAAAATATGCATTAAAATATCTCACCAAATATCCTGGCATAAAAAATACATTTTGATTTGCATTTAGATTTAACTAAAACCACAGGGACTCAATACTAGTGGTGTATTACATCATTATTCTTTCATTATTACATCATTATTCTGTTTAAATCTCTATGATAAGAAGAGACAAGTACATGGAATCATATAGCTCATTCCAAAGTTAGATCCTACCAAATATTAAGAAGAAATTTTCTTGATGACTCTCAAACACAATTAATAAGTGGCTAGTGAATGACTTATTAAACGTAACCATTCGAGTGATAAAAGCTTTGGGAAATTCATTGATTTATATTTTAGTTTTAAGTGATTCAAATGAAAGTGAAGACTATTATAGACTACATTGCGAAAAGAATTTCCCATAATACTTACATATGATTTTTTCTTCTTCTCCATCAGTGTTTTTGAGTCATTTTAAATCAGACAAAATATTTGCTTTCTTTCTCAGTGCTTGCACGCTGTGCTATTTTCAGATTCTTCCCCTTGTCACTTAGTCAAGCTATTCCATATTTCAAAACAAATATCAGCCCTACTGGTACATAATTGCTGTTTATCTTGAGTTTGTTTTTCTGTATTTCTCATAATAAGAATGAAATAGTGAGGAAATGGGATTTGAAATAATAAAACCACCCAAGATAACCATCTCAGGGGGAGGTCCTCTGGTCAGCTGATCCAGTGATAGGACCCCATTCTGCTCCCGCTTCCATAATGGCCTCAGCAGGGGGGGCCTGAATGGCCCGGAGTGTGCAGTTGTTTCCTCGGTCACCACGGCAGCAGGGCTTGCTCGGGCGTTAAGTAGAAGGATAAATAAATTCCAAGTCTTCTTTTAAATAGAATAGCAATAAAGATCAGTTTTTGTCACCCAATTATAGTAACATGTAATCCTTTATGAGGGTTCCCTATGTGCGGTGTTCTAAGCGTTTTACATGTCTTATTTCATTTAACCCACTTCCCATCCCCGCCATGGTTTTCTGAGGAGAGCACCATGAATATTCTCAATTTTCAAGAGAGGCTAACAACTTGCCTGAAGTCAAACAACTAGTCTGGAGTGCAGATGGGTTGAATCCATGCAGTCTTTTTTTTTTTTTAATTGCTGCATAAAGGTATATGTTTCTATTTTGTCCACAGTATGGGAGAGGGCTCCAGGGTGGCTAAATGGATGCCTAGTGCTTTCAGGGAGAGGCTGAGGTGGAAGCCAGGCACCAGGGGAATGCCAAGGGGTCCCTCCAAGGTCCCTGGGCTCCAGAGGTTCCTAGTCACGCTAGAGTGATCCTTTCATAGAGATACCGGCCCAGCCCAGCCCGGGAACCGGCCAGCCTGCGGAGGTTAGCCAGGCAGTCGCCCATTTTCCTGATGGGTTTCCCCTCCTCCTCCAGGAAGTGGTTCTCCAGGAGGGCACAGAGATGGGGGTCTGTGCGGCAGAGCCCAGGACTTGCAGATTCAAAGGCCTGGGTCAGGTTCTTCTCTAGGACCATGGCGGCTTCCCTGGCATCCTGAGATTTACCCCACTCATCTTGGGAAGGCTTCTGCACGTCCTGGAAGAGGGCATAGCTGCCTGGCTGGTTTGCATCTTCAAGAGACGCTGGGCTCCCTCTCGCTTCTCTCGCAAGAAGTGCCCCATGCTTTTCAGAGACACATTGTCGAGGTGGAAATACTCATAGAAGCCCACAGAAAGGCAGGTGTAGGAGGCCCGCAGAGGCAGGCCCAACAGGCGCTGGGCAGCAGCCTCCCCTGCGGTGGGATAATTGTGATGAATTTGGGAGCTCGTGGTTGCTTGGCAATAAGGAGTTAAGCTCAAAAAGCGGTGTTGGCTGGTCTCAAGGCTAAGGATGGCTGAGATGGTTCTGAAGGCGGTCACTGAAAAAGAGGTCAGAGGGTGGTTGGAGGCTGGAAAAAGGGGCATTTCTGGGTCTATTCTGTCCAAACACTGAGGAAGAGACAGATTCTCCACTCTGTCTCCAATTCTGCCAAGGGCACTGTCAAATCCCATGCAATCTTGACCAAGAGCCCAGAGTAATGTCCTAGCATCTCGTGTTCTTAAAACTCCCTCCCCAGGAAATTATAATATGAAGCCAGTGTAAGAATCACTGACTGTTTCAGATTCAGGATCGAGGTGCTTCAACTCAAATGCTTTTAGGGCCAGGCAGGTAAAATTAATGAAGCAAGCAGGTACAGGCTCCATACTTTGAACTGCTTCTAAAATAATGGTTCTGAATCTTTTCCCTTAGATAAGTCACCTGAGGAGATTATTAAAAATGCAAATTAATGAGCCTCAGCCCCACACACCATTCAGTCTACATCAGAATTACCTAGGTTTTATTTTGAAGTGCAAATTTCTGGGTCCTGGAAATCATTTTAAGGGCTAATGCCACTTTAGGTGCTCTAACGTCATTTGAAATGCCTACTACGTTCTAGAATTCTGATTTTGAGCCTGGACTCTTAAATATTTTATTCATTCCAGAAATATTACTGAGCACCTATTATATGCCGGGAACTTCCAGGCACTGGGTAAACAGCAGTGAGCAAATCAAACTTCCTGCCTGTAAGGATCTCATGCTCTGCTGGAGAAGGAAACAGTATGAACAAATATAGGTCAGAGGGATAAGTGCAAGGGAGGAAAATATGTCAGGGGTCAGGATAAAGTGTGATGGGGTAGACTGTTTTGGTTTTTTTTTTAAATATGGCCAGTGGTGGCCCTTTTGATGGCGACTTTGGTACACAGGATGTGAAGGAGTGAGCCGGGGAGCTTGGAACAGCTCAACTAAAGCACCATAGAGGACAAAGTCCTTGAAGGGAGAGTTTGCCTGCTGTGTTGAAAAAGGCAAGGACACCAGCGTTTGGAGAGGAGAGGAGAAAAGTCATCATAATAGATGTCAGAGAGGCAGTAGGGAAATGGATCACATTGGGTAGTGAAGGCCGTGGTCTCATTCTATGTGACATCGGAATACATTGAAAAATGACAGTATCCGCCGTCCCTTTGAATGGGTCAGCCTGGCTGCTGTATGGAGGACATACCGCGTGGGCAGTTGCGGAAGCAGGAAGGGCAGCGGGGGCGCTGCGGCTCTGGTGCAGGCAGGAGAAGATGGCAGCGTGGCCAGCGTAGTAGCAGAGGGAGGGGCAAGAAGTAGCCCAATTCTGGAGGTATGTTAAAGAGCAAGCCACGATTTCTCAGGTGGACTATGAATGAAATAAAGGAATCAAGGTTGATGAGATCTAATGTTAGGGCATTCCGAGTTAAGCAAATCTGGTGTCGGTAAAACACTCTCCCAGCAAACTTCCCGGTGTGAACCTTGTTTACTTAGGATAAAGGGACCCCTTCCCTGGAGCACCGAAGGTGAAGGCTGGAGCATGAATCTCCCAAATGACTGTGGCTCATGAAAACCCTCTTTCTGCCTGACATGAAACCCTGAATACATTTTTATTTCATTATCTGTACTAGGAAAGGTAAGAAGAGTTCATTTTCTCAGTGATATTTATATCGGAAGGGAATTGACTTTTTAATTTTCTCTTGTTGTAATTCATTAAGGCTTTTCTAATAATTCCTGCATATGCTTTAATTATTAATAAAATCAAAACAAAAAAAAAGTACTTCAAAGTAAGAGTGAAAGGTGGCAGCCAACTGAAAATTCCCCTGCTCCACTTCTTCCACCTTCTGATCGTCCCTCACAATTTTGGAGCAAGTTTCTGCATTTTCAAATAATTATTAATAATCACAAAAATCATTATTTAGTGTGCTTAATCTAAAAATTCACTTTGTTAATCCTATTATTGAGGTAAATAAAAGGTTTGTATCTTCTAATAACTTTTTTTTATTTAATAAAAAGCAATGTAACCTGTTGGATTTTGCTTCAAAACCTGTAGCTTCCCATAGGTTAGGAAAGTTGAATTGTTTTAACCTTTTTTTTTTTTTTTTTTTAAATTTAGCTCCTGTCTTGTGCTATTTCTAAAGGTTGTATCTTATGTGTCTTTTATTGTAAACCACACCAAATTCTTTTTTGAGAGACACTGTATGAATAAAAAATGCAAATGTATGAGAAGACTTTCAAATACCTATTTTTGTACTCTATGTTCATTTAAGCTTTGATCATTGTACAGAAGTATTTATCAATTATTCCAAAATTTAAGAACAGGTTTCTCATTCTAGAACCTTATCTAATGAGGAATAAGCACATAGAATTTCCTATCCAATCAAATGAAACCACAAGGACGCCTATCGACTGCAAGCTATGTTTTCATCTGACTCCACAAGTTAATAACTTTGATTTTTTTAAAGTGTGTTACCTTTCCTATTAACTGCTACAGAAGTTTGGGACAGAAAGTCATTTAAGAGGTTGAACTAGACAAAAGCTTTTAAATTTTAGAAAGAATTTGTCCTACAATGGAGGACAAAAATCTGCTGAGGAACAGTTCTATGTAAAGACAAATTGGCTTTACCTGGGAATTTGTATTTCAAAGGGGAAAATCATTCTAAAGATATAGAAAAAAGGTATATACACTTGAACTTTAAGATTGTCCATGTAAAGGTACTTGTTTAGATTATGCAACATTTGATGGAATATTTTATGAATAGATAAAAATGTTTTTGATAAACATATACTCCAAATCTTCAAAGTATTATGAATAGATGAAGAAAACTTTTCACACAAGTTAAAAATGTCTTTCTTTGGCAGTTGTGGACTAGACTGCGAAGTAAACTACAATATAGTACCCTGCAAAGTGAACTCAAAGCAGAGAATAAATGCAAGCAACACACACACATACAGACATGCTACCAATGTGACTTTGTGGCCTAGATTTCAAGGAGAACAAACAGAAATTCATTAAGATGTTGCTATCATCTAAAAATAACAGAGGAGTTTCTGAAGTATCTATATTTTACCAACTGGCACATCTGAGAGCTCCCATATACATTGATGCATTACCTTATCATGTAATTGATGCCTAACACTTCTCAACCCATCAAATGCAGTTCTGAATGGATGGGACATTAATCTCCATGTAAGATGATCACCACTTTGAAACCTGAAGTGATCTCAAATTTCCTAACAGCTTAAATGACAATACTGCAGGGAAAAATAATACATAGTGCTACTGATTCATTTCCTGACTGCAAAAAGAAGATAATATCTCACATAACTGAGCACAGTGGAGAGTTCCTACTTAGTGAGTTCCGATACTATTTCCAAGTACCAGAGGGAAGAGATCATCATGTCCAGAGTTCACTAGATGACTAGTTCTCCATTTTCCAGGAGTAGTACGAGGCTTTGGTACTATTCAGAGATTCTGAGGAGACTGTGCAGGAACAGGTATTTTCATTTACCCTAAAATGATGTTCCAGAACTTCAGTGTGACATTATCACCTTCACAGAGCCTGAATTTCATGATAAAAAGTATTACAGAGGCACTTTCCTTTCTTACAGTAACATAATTCTTATCACAATGAGTTCTTTAAAGTATGAAAGAATATTTTGATGTAGCTATGTCATGGCAGATTTTAATCTGTATTAGGAAGTCTGGACAGGCTTTCAAAATTCTCATCACCTGAAAACCTCAGAAAATATTGTGAAACTAGATCCCAGGGGCTCCAGATTTATTTAAAGAGAAAATAACACCAGATAAAATACAGACTAAAATAACAATTATAAAATAGTATTACGAATAGCTATAATGTAACAAAGTTAACAAAAGAGGTAACAGGAATACATTCTTACAAAAATGTATTGGCATAAGAAGAAATAGAATAAAGAAAAAAAAAACATGCTGAGTTCTGGCCAAGATGTAGGCATAGGTAGATATGCTTCACCTCTTTGCACAACCAAAAGGAAACAACCAATTTAAAAACAAAAAACCAGAACTGCCAGGAAATCGAACTGTATGGACATTCGACAACCAAGGAGTTAAAGAAGAAATATTCATCCAGACTGGTAGGAGGGGTGGAGACTAGCTGGGGCAGAGAGGACATGCAGCAGGGTGGCAGCTGAGGACTGGGTGGGTGAGGCAGTGGCTGGTGGACCAGGTGGTCCCACATTTGCATGTGGATAAACTGGGAAGAACAACTGGGGAGCAAGACAGATGGCACAACCCTGGGTTCCAGTGTGGGGAAAATAAAGCCTCAGAACCTCTGGCTGTAAAAACTTGTATGCGTTATGGAGACTGGAGAAACTGCCAGCCTCTTCAAAGCTGGACTAGAGTTGCGCAAGCTGCATTGTTCCCTCTCTGATCCTGCTCCCACATACACAGTGAAGTGGGTTGCCTTGCCCTGGTAAATACCTAAGGCTCCACCCCTTACAGCGTAACAGGTGCACTGACACAAAGAAATATGGCCCATATGAAAGAACAGGTCAAAACTTCAGAAAAGAACTAAGTGATGGAGAGATAGCCTATCAGATGCAGAGTTCATCTGGTAATCTGGATGCTCACAGAAATGATTGAGTCCAGACATAAAATAGAGGAAGAAGTGAAGGCTATGCAAAATGAAATAAAGAAAAATATATAGGGAACCAACAGTGAAGGAAAGGAAACCAAGACTCAAATCAACAATTTGGGGAAGGAAGAAACAAACACTCAACCAGAACAGAATGAAGAAACAGGAATTCAAAAAAGTGAGGAAAGGCTGAGGAACATCTGGGACAACTTTAAATGTTCCAACAACCGAATCATAGATGTGCCAGAGGGAAAAGAGGAAGAGCAAGAAATTGAAAACTTATAAATAATGAAAGCAAACATCCCCAATCTCAAGGAAACAGACATACAAGTCCAGGAAGCTCAGAGAGTCCCAAAGAAGTTGGACCCAAAGCAGAGCAAACCAAGACGCATCATTATTAAATTGCTAAAGATTAAAAGAGATAAGGAGAAAATCTTAAAAGCAGCAAAAGGAGAGAGCTACCTACAAAGGAATTCCCATAAGCTATTAGTTGATTTCTCAGAAGAAAACTTGCAGGTAAGAAGGGGCTGGAAGTAAGCATTCAAAGTCATGAAAAGCAAGGACCTACAACTCAGATTTCTCTATTCAGCAAAGCTATCGTTTAGAATGGAAGGGCAGATAAAGTGCTTCCCAGATAAGGCAAAGCTAAAGGAGTTCATCATCACCAATCCCTTATTATATGATATGTGAAAGGGGCTTATCTAAGGAAAAGATGAGGATCAAAACTATGAATAGTAAATAAATGCAAAACTATCAACAACTGAATCTAAAAAAACCCCCCAAAACTAAGCAAACAGCTAGAACAGGAACAGAATCACAAAAATGGAGATCACATGGAGAGGTTATTAACAGGGAGGGGGAAGGGGAAGAATGGGGAAAAAGGTACAGAGGATAAGAAGCATAATTAGTAGGCATAAAATAGACAGGGGGAGGTTAAGAATAGTGTAGGAAATTGAGAAGCCGAAGAATTTATATGTAAAACCCATGGACATGAACTACGGGAGGGAATGCTGGAGGGAATGGGGGTACCAGGCTCAGGGGAATAAAGGGGAGAATAAAGAATGGGACAACTGTAATAGAATAATCAATAACACATATTTAAAAATACTACAAAAATAGAAAGTGAGATAAAATTCCTCACTAAAAACTTTCTTACACTGAGTAATAACAAGTTTCTCCCTGTTTATTGACATTAAAAATATTTCTATAAAGAGACAAAATCAAGTTGCAGGTATATATTTAATAGTGTGATGCTTTTTAAAAAAAGTATATAAACACATATATTTACATGGCTGTAAGAAAACAGTTTTGTAGTGCAATGCTATTTTTGAAACTTTTTTTTTTTTACAGTGGAAAACTAGACACCAAACTGAAAAGAACATCCTCCTCTGGGGTGCTACTTAGAACAGGCATGAATTCAACTTTACATACGTTGTTGTTTCAAATTCTTATAAATACATGACACAGTTATTAAAATGGAGTCAGACTCACAAGTAGAAAGGGGGATGACAGCTGAGGGCAGTTGGTTAGGGGGCGGAAGGACTGAGCGAAAAGGGAAAAGGACTCATGGACATGGGCAACCGTGGTGACTGCTGAGGGGGAAGGGGTCTAAGGTGATTAAAAGGTAGATCGCTGACAGCTGATAGCTGGAGACAGCTGACATACTCCAAATACCCGAATCAATAAAGCTATTGGTGAAAATGGAAAACTATTCTGGATAATGAAAAAGTTAATGAAACGTATGGTCAAATTCAAGTCATTGAAACAATCAGAAGCTAGCTCTCCCCCCATATACTAAGGAAAGCTTACACAAAGTACAGAATTGGCTGGACTGAGTCACAAGAAGTGACAAACTCATGCTCTGACTTCAGAAATAGAGTAGCGGTCAGCTGGGAAGTGAACAGGGCAAAGATTTTTGCCCATTTCTGTGATCTGCAAGTAGCTACACCACAGGATCTGCACTGATTTGCAAACTGGGCAGCCACTGAGCGCCCTACTGTGTGGAGAATGCTTTCTTAGGTGGCCAGGGATGTGTTAAGCTATTTCAATTCCATCAACACCAGTCCTTCTACATTCACTTAGAAACAACCCCCAATATACAACATAAGTAGCAGTAAAAAATAAAAACTGGGGAATGGCACATTGCATCTGGGCATGCATAGCTCCCTCCAATAAAGCAGTGTAATGAGGGTGGCCACAGAAAGAGCCTGCATGCAGCGCATCACATCTAGAGAGACACATACACGCTTCCACATAAAGAACAGTGCAGGGCCTTTAAGAATACCCAGGAGTGTCTAAAACAGTGCATGCTGCAGAGACTGGAAACTGAGGAAGAGGCTTTACAAACACTACTTTTTTAAATTCATGTAATTTAAAATATGACAGGCTCTAACAGTATTTGCATGGACAACAGAGGGAACAGGGCCCAAATCTGGGCACAATAAACTACCATCGAGTTGTTGCTCCAGAAATAAAATTCTATTCCTCTTGATTCCTGTTTAGGGTAAAGTGCGTACATCACCCATGAATAAACACTAGTGTTGACGGAACTCTTGTTTAAAATTGAAAAGTTAAAAAACAAAACAAATGATGACAATGTAGGGGTTTATAGAAAAAGGAAAACAAAAAGAGAGGTAGCCTATCATCATGAGGAGTTTCACTTTATTATTTTGGAGACAGCGCAGGTTGACACTGTGAGCCCGTGGCCCCTTCTGGCCCCCGCTCTTCCTGACTGGGTGCTTCCGGAAGGAAGAGAAAATCTCTCTCTCCTTTGCGACCCACGCATACCAGCAATGCTGAAACACACCTGTTCAATTTTAGGGTTTTAAAGGTTTTCCTAGAGTATATTTTGAACCAAGAATTTAAATCCCCCAAATATCAGCGTCAGTCTTTTCTCATGGTCTCAAACGAGCTGGTGAATTTGGTGATGGGGAAGGTGCATAGTTAGGTCTGGAGATGTGCTAACATATTTAAGAACTAGAACTTAGTGTTACCACAAGCAGAGGAGTCCGATATTCAATTCTTTTTGCCAACAAGATGTTAAAAGCCTTTAGGTTAGTGTAAGAAATCACATCAGTGACTCTTAACTTCCAACGTTACTTCAGGTATTTAAGGCAGGACTCTTCGCAGAAAGCCCCCTGCTCGCCATTGCTCCAGAATCCTGGAGCGGTGAACAGTGCAACCTCTGAACAGGGAGTGCGGACTAGCAGTTAATAATTATATGAACTTAGACAAGTCAGCTCATCAGTCAAGACTCAAGTAGTTTTCTTATCAGGAAAATGGGTTGTTGTGAAACTCAAATATATGTTAAGTGCTTAGCACAGTACCTAGTGTGTAGACAATCCTAAATATCTACTATCTTGACACACCTGCTTTGATTCTTTTCCTCACGTCATGCCTCAGCTCAAATAGAGCAAACGAGTGAAATGGATGAATTGTGCACATTTATTCACAATTGAACTAGAAAGATCTGTTCCTCTCAGTCTCTAGCAAATAATATGCATAAATCTCCACATATATACAGATATATAGAAGTATTTTTATAAAACTGAATATTCATGATTTTAAATTTGACATATTGTCATGTAAAAAGTGAACTATATACTGAATTACCATCTCATTTAATGTTCCACCTAAAATATATTTTACATAAGACTATTAAAAAAAGGATAATTTTAAGTCACTAACACTGTAAATCTGACCACTTAATTAAATTGAGGTGAAATGGAATAATTTCTAATAATCATGTAGAGAAATAAGCATTCAAAGCATATAATAATTCTGGTCCAAAAAAATGGATTTATCTTAAACTGCTCAATGTCAGCAGCCAAAGAAAGCAATTCTACCACTTCCACTTAAACCATTCTTTAAAAGTAGAGTGTAGCTCATTTGAACAAGCATTTTTTTATTGTAATCCTTTTTCAAAAGATTTTATTTATTTACTTTTAGAAAGAAGGGAAGGGAGACAAAACGAGAGGGAGAGAAGCACTGATGTGAGAGAGAAACATTGATCAGTTACCACTTGTAAGTTCCCTGACCCAGGACCGAACCTGTAATCCAGGCATGTGCCCTGACTAGGAATCAAATGGGCAAACTTTTGCTTTGGGGAACGACTAAGCCACACCAGTTAGGGCTGGAACAAGCATTTCCTTGAAGAGTACCTGTTTCAAGCAGATCCCTTTGTACAAAAACAAAACAAAATGGAACAAAACCACCAGCCACTCTGTACCTTGCACTCAGCCAAAGCTCAGATTTAAGGCAAGGTCATCTTCTAATCCCACAGTCGTAATAAAATCATCAACATTGCTGATATGAAAATCTAGGCAAGTAAAGAAGCTCAACCAGGGATGGTGAATGGCAGAGAAATCAGTGGTAAAACCAACAGGGAAAGAGATTGTAGTGTAGGGTAACAAAATAGCTTCTCTGAAAGGACTACAAAGAGTACACAAAAACAGTCTTCATTTATTCAATGTCTCTCTTTCTTTTAGAACCCTACCAGCCAGCATACCAGATATTTTTGAGCAACAGACCATTTTTAACTTACAAGAAGGTGTTAAGAGAACCCAATGTCTATTAAAAAATTTAAATAGTTAAAATGGAAAATGAACTATTGAACTAAATCTTTTACATGTTTTATGGCAATCACATAGGAAACAGTTACAATATTTACATATGCTAAATTGAATTTCAATACTAGATAACATCATCTGCAACTGTGGTGTCAAAAATCTGATAGCAAATTTGCTGCTCCGTTCCACTTGTGACATTATACGACTTGATGAAGCATTCCAACCATGGATATGTATCTACAAATCCAAAAGAAAATGTTATTTAACCATTAAAATTAAATAAATAACTCTGGTATATCTAAGTATAATACTTAGCTACAAATATTAACATTTACCTTGAAGCTTGAAATGTCAATAAATACACATCAAATATAACATTATCTACTTTTCCAAATTACATACTGGGTTCATGTTATTGTTTCAGAGCAATTCTGACTAATTTGAATTTTTTCTTAACTACAGGAAAAATAAATTAAATGTGGGATTTTCAGAATGTTTGACAGTGAAGGTAGTAAGCTATGTCATTCCCAATTTTTATTTTTTTTCCCCCTGCTAATTGCTTACTGATCTCCCTGTTTTATTTTATTTTTTTCTCTTGGTTGACTGCAAAGAAACTGATCCTGAAGTTCGAATCAGTGGAACCTCTTACTTTTTAAGATAAAACTACTTAAGTACTGAATCAAGGCAAAGATGGCAGCCACAGATGCCATTTCCAAGAGCTGCTTATGACCACAGTAAATCTATTTATAACATCTAGAAAAGTTTCTTAATATTTCTTTTCTTCATGTTTGAGTTTAAAAGACATTTATTCTAGTCCTCAATATTAGCAAGGGTCAAGCAAGACATTCACTCTCCTACACTGCTGGTAGAACTGTAAATAGGTAAAATATTCTTGAAAAGCAATTTTGCAGTATATATCAAAAGTCTACCAGGCCTGTGCTTTGATATGTATGACATTTTCATTTCCAGAAACCTAGCCAAAAGAATCCAAACAGCCAACAAAAATTAAAACTGACATCAAATAAAAGTATGCAAGTTAAACTTTGTTACAGATGTATAAAAACTTTCTTTTTAGAATCGTTATGAAATGCATAGACTGCCCAGAAGAAAATAAAGCCTGATTAAAAATAACCTATAAATGTTAAACTAACTGCAGCTGGTAAAATCTGCTAATGATGAAAAATTTTAGAGGAGTCCAACTCTCTTACTATAATTCAGATCTACAAGTTTCAATGAAAATACAGATCATGGTCACAAAAGGAAAACAGAGCAGCCGCAGGTGTAATCTATACAATTTGACCTAAGGACCTGGTTGATGAATCAAACGTTATATAGAAAACAACTAAAGCTGCTAAAAATAATTAATACAATAAAAAATTGTAAAATCTGAAACTAGTTAATATGGGACAGAAAATTCATCAATGAATTAAACTGGCTAAATGGAGCTTGTTACAGAAAATGTTTCTTATCAGCATTTCATCCCTGTTAATTTCAAACAAAATGCTATTATACATAAACACAGTATCAAATGTGCTTGTGATCAAAACAGTCTCTCCTTTATTATATTTCAAAATATTAATGAAAGTCTTTTCAAGAATTATGATTCATACCCATTTTATTCCTGCTGTTTAAACCAAAAGGTAGATTATACAGTAATCAAGTACTAATTAGCTATTTATTTGGATTCATATTTCAAAGTTTTCATACCTCTAAAAGTCCACAGATTAGACATAAGCTAGGCGCCATTTTTTAAAAAAAGAATGAATGGGATTGTTAAAATATTATTTCCTACCAATTTTTACTCCTGGAGGACAAAACATATTCATGATCACATCCATATTTTCCTGAAGGTAATCATTGGTCAGGATTTCTGATGCTGGAATATGGAAGAATTTGTCCTTAAAAAAATTATAAAAGAAAATATGAATCTTTTATTAAAATTATAATACAAAAGTAAAGAGGTGGGCAGAAGGAGGTTTACAACTGCATGATGACATTCTTTTGAGTTAATAAAGCTACTGTAATAATCATAACCTGCATGTCTCTTTCCATACAAACAACTGTAAACCTACTTTGCCCACCCCTGTATTTTAATACTATCTAATTAAAATTATCTAGGCTACATCACTCTATCGAGACTGCAAAATTCATACACTATAGTGCTAGTTTGAACTTTAATATCTGACTTACTACTTTAATTTAAAAACATTTTTGAGATACAGAGTCAAGTTAAAGTGCTTTGACTTCATGATAATAAAAATAATGATCACAAAACAGTGAGGCTTATCATTCTCTTGGTAACACAGATATTGAGTGCTTACAATGTGTAAAATTTAAAAGTATAACATATAATTTTTTCTCTTCTACTAGATTACAGGGAGAAAAGGGGTTTTGTTTGCTTTGCTCACTGCTACATCTCTATCACAAAAAATAGTATCTGGTACAAAGACGGTGCTCATTAAATATTTACTTAATACACGTAGAGTCCTTGCCTGCCTGGGGATACTGGGTCACACTGGATATTTAACAATGTGACTTAGAGTGTGGAGTTTGCATTGTATGGCATTAGCTTGACCTCTGGGAGGGGCTGGAGACTGAGATCAGTTCCGTGTATATTCAACCATGACTACATGACAGAACTCCAGTAAAAAACCCTGGACACTAAGGCGCAACTGCAGTTCCCTGGTTGGCAATACTTCATGTGTACGGTTACACATTGTTGCCAGGAAAGTAACACCGTCTCCTACTCTACAAAAGAGGAAAAATGAAAGTTCCACATTTGAAACTTTCCTGGGCTCTGCACTCTGTGCCTCTTCCCTTGGATGATTTTAAGTTGTATTCTTTAGCGGTAATAAACCGTAACGATGAATATAATGGCTTTCAGTAAATTCTGTGACACTGTCTAGTGAATGATCAAAACCAAGGGTGGTCTTGGGGACCTCTAAACTTGTGACTAGTGTCAAGATTAAGGATGGTCTTTGGGAACCCCCAAACTGGGAATGGTCAGAAACGAGGGTGGCCTTGTGGAAAGCGCCCTCGCTTCACCCAATGTAAACTATCACCCTCTCAATGTAATTTTGTTCCCTCTAATATGAAATGAGGAGGCTTAACAAGCCTAGTGAAATGCTGACAGATGCCTAGAGTGTGTGGCCATACCTCTGCCTTTGAGCTCCTGGAACAGAATTTCTGTGTGGTATAAAAAATGACTCTCTCTTGAAATTCTTATTTCTCAATTTTTCATTATTTGGATATTAAGATTTACAGTGTAATAGCAAAAGAGACATAAACACATAGAAAATTTAAGATCTATACACTCATATTTTATTTTTCTAAGTTGTCCTCAATCTTAGTAATAAGGTAGGTATGAATAAATATATTAAAATTCAAAAAGTATTTTTAGTTAGAAATATCTTCACTACCTCTGTTACTTACAGAATCCATGAGATAAGCTTCCAATACGCCCGTTCCATCATCAAGGGTAAATGTCATCACAAACACATGTTCAAGGGGTACAATACCCAATACTAGTTTAGAAAAAAAGATTAAACTATATGAATCTTCTATTCCTTGTAATCGAAGTAAAGTAACAGTTGTTTTTGGATAGTATGTACCTGTTAATCATTAATTTTGTTTACTAAAATAATTTGAGAGAAAGAAAAACTTACACATATGCTTTTTTGTTTTCTAATACTAACAGATGAAGCTCATTTTAGCAGGTTCATTTTGGAACATTATACTATACCTATATAGAGGTTAGGACTCATAGACAACTGTATCATCTTTGATTAACTATTAATATATCTTTAAAATAAGTACATCTTGATAGAAAACATAAAAATTGATTTATAGAATACAATCCATTGCATGTTAGTCTTATAAAAGACAAAATTAAAATACCAGAATACTTTAAAAATAGCATGCAGTTCAATACTTATGGTTACAAAATACGTCTCTCCCCTTTGTACTATCAGTATAGGGATCACTTATTTTTTAAAAGATGTCATACAGCTGAATGGACAGAACTGTCAGAATCTGGGATTTCATAATTTGGTAAGATGAGAAAAAAGAGGAAGAATTTATAGAGAATAAATCATTTGAAAATTTATAAGTTGAACATCTTTTTTGTGTTTGGAAATGGAAAACATTCAATGTGTTTACAGAATGGAGTATTTTTTCCACTTGTGGAATCAATATTTAAACAGAACTAATAAGGGAGCAAGTAAGAATAAAGTAGGGCATGAAGACATAACAGGAATTGTTAATACAGAGAAACAGATTTTTAGGATTTAAGGGGTCTCAATAGGTTAAAACTGTGAACTAAAACCAAAAAATATAAACATAACACCTACTCTGAGGGACCACACAGACAGACAGATAGCTGCATTTAGAACAGGATAGGGAGACCGAGGTGGAGAGCAAAAAGCTCATGTGAAAATAACCTGGAATTTTACTGGACCACAAACAAAATGAGATAGCAGTATTACATAGCTGAATTAAAAGAGAAGGAAAGCAAAACCAAGTATACAGATTGATGTCTACATAGTGTTCTTACTTAACATCATCAACAGGCTCTTGAGACTGCAGTGAAACAACATGTAATGAAACCAACTTTACCTGAGTTTAATTGATATTAACAAGAGTTAAGTTCCCAAGTCATCTTATCAATGTTATAACACAATGACATCGAACAAGATGACATTATTCAAGAACCTGCTGTACGACGAAATTTTCAGGCTAGTAGAAGCAGAGTGTCCAGTGTCAGGGAAATAAAAGTTTTGTTCATATTTTGAATTGGCCAGTATCTGCAGCCCTATTTCCAGCTTTGAATGGCAAACTTTGAAGAGATCACTGGGAAAGTCAAATCTTTACTATGGAGGAGAAATAAAATACGTAATAAGGAATGTAGGAAAGTACCAAAAAAGTGAAATAACTGCTTGGAGAAATAAAGATGAAATGCAGGTTCAACAGGTATCTTCAAACGTATAAAATCTGTTGATCTTATAGAAGAGGGAACAGATACACTCTAATAATTCCAGTAAATAGAATATGGCCCAGGTTAAAATTATAGGTACATATATTTTGCCTATTAAAAAATGACTAAAAATTAAGGGAATTTGTTGCTGCAATGTAATGTGTCCCCATCACTGAAAGAGTTTTAAGCCAAGGTGAGGTGACCACAGTTAAGAATGTGACATAAAAAGATTCTTGTTTCAGCTAAAAGACCTGTATTGGGTAAAAAGTTGTAATAGCTATTTCTAAAACTCTGATATCCCACAGTACTATGAACTGGACAGATTTTTCAAAAGTTGTATTTGTGATTGATGATTAATACTAAAATTATTTGAACATTAAAATATGAGTAAAGATTAAAAGATACTGGCAAGTGCTTGAAAGTTTCCAAATATTTTAAACATTTACTTTATATTTTTACCACAATGACTGTGAATGGTTTTACTTAAGGAAAATTAAACTTTTCTATGGTTTTACTATAGGCACAAACATAATAAGTGAAATCACCTTATACAAAGACAGTTAAGATTATAGGACATAGACACTTTAGCCAACCTTCTGCCACAGAAGAAGGAATCCATGACGTTTTATCAACCAGGTTACTTAGATTTTGTATTGGTCTCAAGGTAGAACACTTTTTACATCTGAAATTAATAAAACAAAAACAAATATTTTAAAATAATGTATTATAATTACTTATTATAACTCATTTAGTATTATAACTTATTTTTTGCTGTCCAAGTATGCACTGTTTAACAAGTAAATTAAACAAAATAGTACTGTACCTCCTATATGGTACTGTGTATATTACTAACAGAATTACTTTAAAATATAAGCTTTTTACAATAGAAGCAATAAAAAAAAGTCTAGCTCAGAATAAGCACCACTAAATTGAGAATAAGAAAGAGGTTTCAGGTTCAGATTATTAATTAATTTGGCTGATTCTTATTTGGAAAAATTAAAAAGTTTAAACAGTCTTTAAGAACTTTAATTTTATGGGTCTGTGAACAATAAAGTAATAGCCAAGGTCTTAATTCAATACAGCCAATGTGAGGAAATTATTCTGACTAAAGAAGGCATTACTGGCAATATTTGGGGTAATATATTCAGTAAGCACATATTTAGAAGTTTATAGTGTATGATGCCTATACTATAGTTACTATAGTTACTAAGTAACTATAGTTACTCTTCATAATTTAAATCAATTTAAAACTATACAATATACTAAAATTTTACATTAGTTAGTATATGTATTTTCATTTACTTATATATGAACATATTTTAAGCAATTTTTTCATTACACATCATAATGTTTAAGAGATAATAAAATATATACTTAAATAAATATATAAAAATCAATATTCAAAAGGTTCATGCAGATTCCTTTTCCTTTGCAATCTGGGGAAAAATAGAGGGTAACTATAACAAATAGTACCCCTTCCCAGCCTTCAAATACATCTAAATTTTTTTAACAGAAAAAGATAATTAAAAGACATTGATAACCATCAAGTATACAAATTAAATATTAATATACAAATTAAAAATTAAGGGTAACACATAAATAGGAGAATTCATTACTTCCAAAGTAGTAAAAGAGTATAATACTTAAATATAAATATTAAAAATATACTAAAATTAATTAAGGTAAGTGTTCAATTACAAACATTTGAAAAAGAAAAACCCAATGAAAGTAAAGAAAGAAAATAAAAATAAGAATAAAAAACAGTTGAGAGCAACAACAAAAACAAAAGTTTGTTGCTTTGGCAAGAAAGGCCAAGAAAAAGAAGGTGCAAATAATATTAAGTGGATTTTACAACAGGCGAAGTGGAGATTTAAAAATTACCAGATAGTATTATGAATTACTATATGTAAATTTCAATTTAAAAATAAATGCTTTTCTAGAAAACCTTTATTAATAAAACAGATTCAATAAGAAACAGAAATCCTTAAAGGATACAAAACTATTAAAGAAACTCAAGCATTATTTTAAATTCTTTAAAAAGGCATCAAGTCCAGAAATATAAGCTAAGTTTTATAGACTTTAAGGGTTTTGACAAACATTTTCTTACACATGACTGTATTAATATTCTAAAAATCTGTAAAACAAAAGAAACTAGACCTTAAAAGGTACATGACAGACAAGAAGTTTCTTGAAATATATATTAACTGACAAAAGATTAGTATCTCTCACACAGGAATAATTCTTATATTTAAATATAATCTTTCTTATATATTTTTCCACTACCATTTAGTCCCCTGCAACCCCCTTCCCCCCAGCAATCCCCACACTGTTGTCCGTGTCCAGGCGTCCTTTTTCCTTTCTGCTCACTCCCTCCACCCCATAACTTCCTCCTGCCCCTGCCACTACCTGCCATCTGTTCTTCATCTACGAGTCTGTCTCTGTAGGAATAATTTTTAAAATCAGATTAACACACAAACAAAAACAGAGGTCAATAACTCAACAGAAAAACAGGTAAGATATGTGAACATGGAATTCATAGAATAGAAAACTAAATAGCTAATAAACATGAGGGCTGTTTAAACCCTCTAGTCACTTAGGAGATGCAAACAAAAACACCATGAATACCATTTGATGCTCATCAGTCTTAAAAAAATGATGGTTAGACCAACACTGAGTGTTAGAGAAAACTTGGGAGAAAGTGAACTTTTTATATGCAGTTGATGGGACCATAAAATATTACAATCATTGGAAGAACAATCTGTTATTTTCCAATAAAGCAGAAAATATGCATACCACTAATTCTAATTCTAGGGAAACACCTTACAGTAACTTTCAAATTTTCTGACAAGAACTCACAGTTAGAAATTTACTTTATATCATGACCCACAATACACCACACACACACACACACACACACACACACACAGTTTAGAAAACAATTGTGACCCTTACTATGTACAAAGGTCTCTGTTATCCATTCTGATTCATTCCATTTTACACCATACCACACCATACCATTACGCCACATCACATCATTTAAAAGAAGTCCTGGGCATGATCCAATGAACTGATTTTACAACAAAGGAAATATGCAACAAAATATAAAAGGACTTTACTTATCACTGTGGTAAATGTAATAAATGAAAATAACACATACCTATTACTAGGGAATAGATTAATAAATCATAATATTTTTCATATGAAATAAAATACTATATAAGTATTAAAATAATTACTAAATCTACATGCATAATATGGAAGTATCTTGAAAATAATATTCAGTAGGGAAAAAAAGTTGCAAATGAAGAGGCATAATACAATATGAAACAGTTGACATAAATTTTAAAAACACAGTAATATGCTATATTCCTTCAAAGTTCACACATATATTATACTAAGAGAATACCAACATTGATGAGAAGAACTGACTTCAAGTTTGGGAAAGTAATTACTTCTGGGAAGGAAGTGTGTTCCTTCTGTTCTGCACAGTCTTATTTTTTAAAAAATAGAGACTTGAAAAATATGTTAAGATGTTAACACTGGTTAAATCTAAGTGGAGGATACTTAACTGTTATGATGTAATTTTTGATATTTTTATGTAGTTAAAATTAATTTTTAAAATTCCTAAAAAGAAAAGTCAATAAAAAGATATTCTGGCTTTCCTGATGACAAAGTAATGAAAAATCTTAAAATGCCTTAAAATTTGGAATGTTAGCATCATTTCTGTTTATGCTGAAAATGGGGGAAATGCTGAAAGCCTTATCAGAACTTTTTATTTTAGACTTCTAGTAAATGAAGGATATTCCAGAGCTTAATAACTAATGCTGGCTTTCCTGGTTCTAGACTGGCCAAGGCAACTGATACTAGGAAGGAAAGCAGAGGAGAGGGAGTGGAGAGAGCGAGCAAGTGAATGAGTAGGGGTAAGTAAAGGAGAGAAAGCCCATGTTAGTGGCTTATTAAAAAGAAACAACAGAATGAGAGACCTGTATTTTTGAACTATTGATAATTGTTAGATAAACAAAATAATGTATTTATTCAAATGGAACTTGACTCTGAGGTTAACAGACCAATGAGAGAGATAAAGACAGACACTGCGTACATCATAGTAAAAACAGCTCCAACCCAGGGCTTTGACTCAGTAACACACCAGGTTCCAACTTATACCTAAAGTTTTATGATATTTTGTATATGGAACAGAACCCAAGGCAATCTCCACAGGCCTACCAATTACTTCAGCAGTTACAATCAGAAGTAGTAAGTAGTTTCCAAATGAAATCAAGATTTACACATTATAACAATGAGTAACACTTGCTACAAATATAGGAGTACAAAGGAAGAGAGGTGGTATGACAAGATGCATTCTGCAATTCAAGGTTTCTCAAAACAGGGCACTTCCAAGGTTATTGCTTCATCAAACGGAAGGAAAAGGAGATTTTATCCCCATTGCCTCCTTCCAAACATAAAAATCTGCTTCTAGAACCTAATGTATTCTGATACGTTCCAATTTCTCAGTGGCAACTAATTTGTTAACTTTGTGCCACAGAAATTCTGGAATTCAACTGCTCAATTTTTACTAGGATGCACTCTGAATCTTTTTCTGTAAGTAATAGCTAAATCCTTGTGAAAGAAAACAAATTATAATTAGTCTCTTGGGTAGTCTTATATCTAGCACATTGTAGGTACTCAATATAATGCTATCAAAACAATAAATATATTTATTTAAGTACAGATAAAACCCAAAAATTTGACAGTAAAAATATAAAAATGCTATCAAAATATTTATTTAAATGCAAACATATAAAAATAAAAAATTAAAAATATAAATATATAAATAAATCTAGTATATATAAATTGGTACTAAGCAAGTATCTGTTGACAATACAGTAACAAGTAGGATGAAATAATTAAAGGAAAAAATTACTCTTAAAGAATTTTTAATTCTAAAATTTCCCAGCATTAAAACCATACCCATAGTGATGAATTTTATCTTGTATAAGGAATGGTGCTGAAAGGTCAAAGAGTTCTAGGTCTTCATGGCCGGATCTCACAGGAATTACACTGTGAAACTTGTTTGCAAGTTTGTAGATTTCACTTACTGTACCTCCTATTAAGTGAGAACAAATAAACCCTTCAGATTAGTACAAACATAACGTAGGCAAAATGAAGTACCTATCAAGTAACATATGAGGTGTAGTAAAAGATTAAAGAGATTGACAGAAAAAGACAAAGCCATGAATTTACAGATTAATACATTTATACATTTATTGTAAAAAATAATGATTTGTAAACTCAGGATCCTACACACTGATAAAAGAAACCACTACACAAAAATGCTGAGACTTAAGCAAATTATAAGGCTTGTGAAACTGTAACCATCTTCTTGAATTTATACAAGTTGTTCTTTATGTCAGGAACACTATAATTCAAAGAATCAAAAGAATAAAGTTGCAAGCCAAAGAATGACAGGATTCTCATTAAATTTGCTATATACTACTCATGTCTGGGCAAGGTTAGTCCTGAGTTTGAAATGAATTTTTTAAACTTTCAGGTCAACATTAAAGTTAAATATAAATGCAAACAGTTCATGTACTATGAATTTGTGTATAGTATGTGTTCATTTTTCTGGGGGAAACCAACACGATTACCCCAATTCTCTGACAGGGTGGGCATGAAGACAGTATGCCCAATGGTGCACCATCATTACAAGGTAGCATTACCTAGGATAACTCAAACCTACCGGTACATTTTCTGGTGTACTTTTTACTTATATTGATAATTCTTCCTCTCCAGGCAAAGAGAATACGATTTATAAAATATTTTGGTGTCTTTACCAAAATTTGCATAAAATTGGTAACATAAAATTGAACTGTGAGGCTGGTGCACTTCTAACATAGCAGACCAAAACATCCGAAAATATACTTCTGCAGAAAAGCAAAATGAGCATTGGCAAAAACTCTAATTCAACTTTTTCATACCTCTAGAAATTAACCAGAGGCTCCCAAAAATCCAAAGATAAGCCTTTTTTTCCAAAAAGTGAATAAAGTTTGGTAAGAACAGTGGCTTTGTGGTATTCTAACTTACTTGGTTCTCATCCCTCTTCTGCAGCTCTGTGACAACCGGAATTCTCGGTTCTTCCATGCCACACTGCAGTTAGGTCCTAGCCTCGGATTAGTTAGGGTTATAACAGTCAGAAACAGAGTAAAATAGTACACCAGCAATGAGATAGAAGAAAAAATCAGAAAAAAAAAAAAAACACCATTCGATACAGCAAGAAGAAAAGTAAAGTACCTAGGCATAAATTTAACCAAAGAGGTAAAAGACCTGTACGCAGAAAACTATACATCACTGAAGAAAGAAATTAAGGAAGACACAAATAAATGGAAGCATATACCGTGCTCATGGATTGGAAGAATTAATATCATCAAAATGTCCATACTACCCAAAGCAATTTATAGATTTGACGCAATCTCTATTAAGATACCAATGACATATTTCACAGAAATAGAACAGACATTTCAGAAATTTATACGGAACCATGAACGACCCTGAATAGCCGCAGCAATTTTGAGAAAGAAACGCAAAGTAGGAGGGATCACAATACCAGACATCAAACTCTACTACAAAGCCAATATACTCAAAACAATCTGGTACTGGCACAAGAACAGACCCACAGACCAGTGGAACAGAAGAGAAAGCCCAGAAATAAGCCCAGGTCTCTATGGGCATCTAATATTTGACAAAGGGGGCAGAAGCATAAAATGGAGCAATAACAGCCTCTTCAACAAATGGTGTTGGGAGAGCGGGACGGCTACATGCAAAAAATTGAAATTGGATCATCAGCTGACACCATACACAAAAATAAACTCAAGGTGGATAAAAGACTTAAATATAAGTCGCAACACCATCAAAGTCCTAGAGGAGAATATTGGCAGGAAACTCTCAGATATCCCACGCAGCAATTTTTTCACTGATATGTCTCCTAAAGCAAGGGACAGAAAGGAAAGAATAAACAAGTAGGACCTCATCAAAATAAGAAGCTTCGGCATGGCTAAAGAAAACATCAGCAAAATGAAAAGGGAGCCAACCCTATGGGAAAATATATTCACTAATGATACATCAGATAGAGGTCTGATCTCCAAGATAAATAAAGAACTCACTTGACTTCACTCCAAGAAGACAAATGATCCAATCAAAAAATGGGCAAAGGACCTGAGCAGACGCTTTTCCAAGGAGGAGATACAGAGGGCCCAGAGGCATTTGAAAAGATGCTCAGCATCACTAGCCATCAGAGAAATGCAGATCAAAACCACCATGAGGTACCACCTCACACCCGTCAGAATGGCCATCATAAACAGATCCACAAACAACAGGTGCTGGCAAGGCTGTGGAGAAAAGGGAACCCTAGTCCACTGTTGGTGGGAATGCAGACTGGTGCAGACATTGTGGAAAGCAGTGTGGAATTTCCTCAAAAAGTTGAAAATGGAACTGCCTTTTGATCCAGTGATTCCCCTGCTGGGACTATACCCTAAGAATCCCCAAACGCCAATTCAGAAGAACCTATGCACCCCAATGTTCATAGCAGCACAATTTACAATAGCCAAGTGTTGGAAGCAACCTAAATGCCCATCAATAGATGATTGGATCAAAAAATTATGGTACATTTACACAATGGAATACTACTCAGCAGAAAGAAAAAAAGAACTACTAAACTTTGCGACAGCATGGATGGAACTGGAGAGCATTATGCTAAGCGAAATAAGCCAGAGGGCAAAAGACAAATACCATATGATCTCACCTATAAGTGGAACCTAACCAACAATACAAAGCTGCAAGGAAAATAAGACCAGCAACACTGAAAGGAAAAGAAACCAACAGAGACAAGAGGGAAGGAGGTAGGGGGGCAGGGGAAAAGGAAGGGAAGGGGAAAGTCAAGGAACATGTAGCAAGGACTCATGGACAAAACCAAAGGAGAAGAGTTGAGGGAGGGAGGGAGGGAGGGGGCAAGGGAAAGTGGTGGGGGGTAGGCAGAGACAAATGTATTTGAAAAAATAAATAAATTAATTAAAAAAAAAGAAACAGAATAAAATAAAATACTGCATTTCGAGGAAACCCTGTTAAGTTTTAAAGTGCTTTCACATACACTTTCATTAAAAATCTCTAGGGGAAGTGTTATTACATTGGGGGAACTTAATTATTCAATAAATATTTATTGAGGACTAGTCATATGTCAGGTGCTGAAGATGCATAAATTAAAATAAATGTGTATCCTGTCCTTAGGGAGCTTATATTCTAAAGAAAACAATTCTATAAACAGATAAAAGACAAATATATGCCAAAAAGTCCAAGAAGAGGGAAGACTCCCAAATTCTTTTTATGAGGCCAACATCCTAACCCCACAAGCAGACAAAGAAACAACAAAGAAAGAAAACTACATGCCAATATTGCTGAATAATACAGATGCTAAAATCCTTAACAAAATATTGGCAAACTGCATCCAGCAATACATTAAAAAGATCATACACCATGATCAATTGGGATTCATCCCAGGGATGCAAGGATGGTACAATATTGGCAAATTAATAAACAGAATACATCACATAAACAAAAGGAAAGACTAAAATCACACGATCATATCAATAGATGCTGGAAAAGCATTTGATAAAGTACAGCACCCATTTATGATAAAAATCACTCAGCAAAGTGGGAGGAGAGGGAGCATACCTCAACGTAATAAAGGCTGTGTATGAGAAACCTACAGTCAACATCATCCACAGCGGGCAAAAACTAAAAACTTTCCCACTAAGACTGGGAACAAGACAAGGTTGTCTGCTTTCACCTCTTCTACTCAACATAGTATTGGAAGTTCTAGCTACAGTGATCAGACAAGAAAAAGAAAAAGAAATAAAAGGCATCTAAATTAGAAAGGAGGAAGTAAAATTGCCATTGTTTGCAGATGACATGATAGTATACACAGAAAACCCTACAGAGTCCACCAAAAAACTATTCGACCTAACAAAGGAATTTGGCAAAACGGCGGGATACAAAGTCAATATTCAGAAATCGAAGGCATTTTTGTACAACAATGATGAAATATGAGAAACAGAAATCAGGAAAAAATCCTATTTGCTATAGCAACAAGAAAAATAAAGTACTCAGGAATAAACTTAACCAAGGAGGTAAAAGAGACTTGTACTCAGAAAACTACACAACACTGAAGAAATTACGGAAGATAGAAATAATTGTAAGCATACACTGTGTTCATGGATTGGAAGAATTAACATGATCAAAATGTCCACACTACCCAAAGCAATTTATAGATTCAACGCAATCCCTATTAAAATACCAATGACATATTTCACAGATATAGAACATACATTTCAAAAATTCTTATGGAACCATAAATGACTCCGAATAGCCTCAGCAATTTTGAGTAAGAAAAACAATGTAGGAGGGATCTCCATACCTGATATCAATTTATATTACAAGGCCACTGTGATCAAAACCACCTGCTACTGGCATAAGACCATAGATCAATGGAATAGGACAGAGAGCCCAGAAATAAACATGTCTCTATGGTCAATTAATATTCACCAAAGGGGGCAGGAGCAGAAAATGGAGTAAAAATAACCTCCTCAACAAGTGGTGTTGGGAGATCTGGACAGCTACATGCAAAAAAATGAAACTTGACCACCAACTTACATCACACACAAAAATAAACTTAAGATGGATAAAAGACTTAAATATAAGTCACATCATAAAAGTCCTAGAGGAGAACACAGGCAGGGAACTTTCAGATATTCCACAAAGCAATTATTTTCACCAAATGTCCCCTAGAGCAAGGGATGTAAAGGAAAGAATAAACAAATGGGACTACATCAAAATAAGAAGCTTCTGCATGGTTATAGTTCTGGCTGGTGTGGCTCAGTGGACTGAGCGCCAGCCTGTGAACCGCAGGGTCACTGGTTTGATTCTCATCAGGGCACATGCCTGGCTTGCAGGCCAGGTTCCCAGTAGGAGGCGTTCATGGGGCAACCACACATTGATGTCTCTCTCCCTCTCTCCCTCCCTTGCCCTCTATAGAAATAAAATCTTAATAAGTAAATAAATAAATAAATAAAAAGCTTCTGCATGGCTAAAGAAAACATTAGAAAAATGAAAAGGGAACCAACCATATGGGAAAATATATTTGCCAATGATACCACAAAGAACTCACACAACGCCATGCCAGGAAAACAAACAATAGAATTAAAAAATGGGCAAAGGACCTGAACAGACACTTCTCCAAGTAGGACATACAGAGGGCCCAGAGACATATGAAAGGATGCTCAGCATCACTAGCCATCAGAGAAATGCAAATTAAAACCATAACGAGATATCACTTCACAGTGGTCAGAATGGCCATCATAAATCAACAAACAAGTGCTGGTGAAGTTGTGGAGAAAGGGAATGCTGTTGGTGGGAATGCGGACTGGTGCAGCCACTGTGGAAAACTGTGGAATTTCCTCAAAAAGCTAAAAATGGAACTGCCTTTTGGCCCAGCAATTCCACTGCTGGGATTATATGCTAAGAATCCTGAAACAGCAATTCAAAAGAACCTGTGCACCCCAATCTTCATAGCAGCATAATTTATAATAACCAAATGCCAGAAACAGCCTAAGTGCCCATCAGTAAATGAATGGATCAAAAAACTGTGGTATATTTACAGAATGGAATACTATGCAGCAGAAAAAAGAGAAGGACCTCCTACCCTTTGCAACATTATGGATGGAACTGGAGAGCATTACGCTATGTGACATAAGCCAGTTGGTGAAAGACAAATACCAGATGATCTCGCCTATAAGTGGAACCTAACCAACAGAAGAAACAAGAGAGCAAAAATAGAACCAGAGACACTGAAATAAAGAACTGATAGTAACCAGAAGAAGGGGGGAGAGGGATAACATGGGAAAGAAGGGGAAGGATTGAATGTGGGAAGGGGGGCGGGTAGGGCAGGGGAGAGTAAAGGGGGAAAATGGGGACTGTAATCGAACAACAATAAAAACTATTATGGGGGAGAGACAAACATAATACAAGAAGAAAAGTAGTTAAGAATCACTCAACTCTGCCTGGTGAATAAGAAAAAGTGCTTCTTACATGTAGGTGTTCATTAAATACGCTATGTGAATTGCTAAATAAAGGAAAAATTGATTTTACTTCTGAAGATGTACTGGAGCAGAAATTCTCAAGAGAATAGCAATGAAATGGGAAAAAGGCACTGAGAAATATACAGGGTTTAGGAATTGCCACCAGTTCAGTATGGCTGGAGGGTGGGATGCTGATTGTAGGAGATGAGACTTAATGTTTTGGGGATGAGAGGTAATTGAAGATAGGATCAGGAGCTACAGAGACTTTTTAATTCAAGCATCTTTGCACCCTTGAGGCCAACTTGGCTTCAGCACAGAATTCTGTGGGAGGCAGTATAACACAGGAGGACCCTAAGCCACACATGACATCCTCTTAGCTGGACCTACAAGGACTTAAAAAACCTCATAGGACCACAGGTTTGTTTTATTTTTATAGACTACAATTACCCTTACTCCATTTTTTGTATGCGTGTATGTGTCTATGTGTTTCTGTTTTTAAATCTATCTCCTCGTAGATTAACATATTGTTAATGAAATAAGATACCGCAATTTACTCATCTAAGTGGCCAAATGTTTTCAAGTGCTAATATATGACAAGGGTAGGGGAACAGATAATCTCATATACTGCTAAAGCACATGCAGCCTAGGATAACTAGGAATTGGGCAACATTTACTTAATTTCTTGTGTCCCCATAATTTATACTTCATCCAAAGGGGAGAGATGTTCACCACAGAGTTACAATTCAGTTCCACTACTTAACACCTATATTGGGAAAGACATGGGGAAAAGTCTGTGGTACAATACATATTTTAGATGAAAATAAGACAAAAGCGGGAAAGCAATGGAAAAATAAATATGACTCAAAATTTTATTTTTTAAAAATATGTCAAGTAATCTTGTTTCAAGAGTCCCTTCCTTGATTTAGATATTAATTGATGATATATAGTCCTGGCAGGGTTGCTCCGTTGGTTGGAGCATTGTTCTATAAACCAAAAGGTTATGGGTTCTATTCCTGGTCAGGCCACATACCCTGATTGCAAGTTTCATCCTCAATCTGGTTACTACCAGAGGCAACAGATTAATGTTTCTCTCTCACATCAATGCTGTCTGTCTGTCTCTCCCCTCTCTCCCCTTTCCCCTCTCTATAAAACCAGTAAACATATCCTGAGGTGAGGGTTTAAAAAAATGAAAATAAAAAAAGGTATCTATTTCATTCTACTTTTATGGAATAACAGTGACATCCAGTGGCCAAGATAACAGTAAGTATACATCATAAGAAGTCTCTTATTAATCATTACTCAGTTTGGTAATCACCTTGGATGTGATTAAGATTACATGCAAAAAGCCAACAAAATGAACAAAAGCAAACATCTGAGTGTAATGTACAATTTCAAAATGTCATTCAGATAAATTTATATATGTGCATATGTATATATTTGAATCTAGTTAGAGATAATATATTCCATTTTATAAAACTTAATTTAGTATTTTGTCTTTATATGTCCTATGTTGTCTCTAAAATATATTTAACAATAGTGAGAAAAAGACATAAGCTCTAATCTAATAAAAGAGTAACTTAAATACCTTACCTTCTATCAAAATTAGACAGTCATTTGAAAGTGGGAGAATACCGTTATTTTTCACAAAATGAATAGCTACTTTTCGTTCTCCTTGATCTTTAGTTGTCCAGACTTTTGAATCATATAATAATGTGTTTTGTAGTTTGGTATCTGGAGTTTTAGTTGCACTCTCTTGCAAAATTCGATCCAAATCGCCTTCATGTGGAACTTCTTGCCTAAACCATCATCAATGAAATGACAAAAAACCTTGGAAATCCAATTTTACAGATTACAATTACAAAAATTTATATGCTGATGAGCCAGCTACTTATTTTAAATGGAGATAATTCACTTTGCAGATTAAAGACTCTTATTCAGTAGAAAAATATTTGTATTTCATGATTAAGTAGCTTCCTCTCCCTAGTTACATTAACCATCAGCAACTTACTTTGTTTGGTGATATCAAGGTTACTAATCATAGCTGTTTCCAGCACCTATTTGTCTTCTTCTGTAAGGAACCCTAAACTTCCCAGTGGGATAAGAAAATGCAACAGTCCCTAACCTGTCTTCACTCCAGTTGAATAGCAACTTACCACCTAAGTAATTTCACTGTCACAGAGCATCTAAGTTACAAATCAGTATTTGTTTCAATTCCTTTTAAAAAGTCTTATTGTAAAGCATGATGAGAGTAGCACTGGCATGATCTGAAATCAAAAGGTTTGTCATGAACCAGCTGTGAAACTTTAGGTAACACCTCTAAACCTTTCTGAGGCAATTTCCTTATTTGTTAAAAAAAGAAAAGATTATAGAGGGCAGTTTTGCTTCACAAAGTTATGTGATTTTACAGCATCTGACAAACTGTAATTCGATAATACTTCAAAAATTACCTAAAATATATATTTTTTCTTTCCAACTACCACTGCAAATTCAAATGGGTAAAAGAGAATCCCCCCTTTTATTTAAGGAGATTTGATGATAATCACACAAACAGTAGTATACTTAGATTTTAGAGAGGAAAATACCATGTATTACAGAAACATAAACATAAACACAAAATATAAATACACAAATATAATGGAGATGTGTATATACTGGAGTGGGCAAAAGTAGCTTTCCAGTTGGAGTACATGGGTTTATTTTTATTATTATTTATTTACTATTATTTTATTATTATTATTTATTAATTGTATTATTTTTGTATTACAACTTTTAACCTACTTTTGCCCATGCCTGTATTTATACATTATATATTTAGAGGAATGACTGTGGAGCTAATAAGTACACAATCATTCTACTGTCTTATAAGTTTATATATTTATACATTAATTGAAGTTTAGAATAAAGACTTTGAGGTACTGAGAAATTCTAAATTACTAACAAGAATTTAAATTATATTATATTGTAGTTATTAAGCAGGGCAGAAATACTCATATTTCCAACAAGGCTTTCCTTTATTTTTTCTGAACATGATTTTTATTATATAACTTCTTTTAGGAAGTTAAATAAGTTTCCATTTCTTATTTTATTTACTTTATCTTATTTTTTCCCTCGCCATGTATGCCCTCCCTACATTCTTCTACCTCCTCTCACCCACTTCTTGCCCACAGTCACCACACTGTTTTCCAACAAGGCTTCCTATATCACTTAATTCAAAATTTCAACTAACCAGAAGTCTTTTCTAATTTAAGAATTTTAGTTATTTTGGCTACTCAGGGTAGTTTTTGGTTCCATACAAATCTGATGATTGTTTGCTCTACTTCATCTTTAAAATGCCATTGGGATTCTGATGGGGATTACAGTAAATCTGTACATTCCTTTGGGTAATATGGACATTGTAACTATGTTAATTCTTCCGATTCATGAATATGGATTATCTTTCCAATTCATTGTGTCCTTTTCAATCTATTTTAATAATGTTTTGTAGTTTTCAGCATGTATGTCCTTTACATCATTTGTTAAGTGTATTCCTAGGTATTTTATTCTTTTTTTGTTGCAATTGCAAAAGGAATTGTTTTTTTCATTTCTTTTTCTGAAATTTCACTGTTACTAGCATACAGGAATGCAGTGGAATTCTGTACATTAATTTTTGTATCCTGCAACTTTACTGTATTCGTTTATTGTTTCTACAGTTTTTTGGTGGAGACTTTTGGGTTTTTTATATGAAAAAAATTATGAAATCTACATAATCTTATTAACCAATGTCATCCCATAAATTTAACTTAAAGAATTTTAGTTATTAATGGTTTATTTTTAAGGATATTTTTGTGACAAATGTGCAAGTCTGCCCAAATAGTTTCATAGTTTATTTGTTTGCATTTATCAGAGCTACTAAATTGAATATCATATTTAAAAATATACCCTGCTTTTATTTACTATTACTAAGAAATATCAAAAGATTTACTTTCTAAGATTAAATATTTTTCTCTCAAAAATGTTACCATTTTATCAAAATATAATACATGAAAATCACAATATATTCATTGCTAGGACTTACACTGATGCATATAAAAATATACATAAACATATTATGAAGTGAAAGTTGTCTTATTATAGAAAATACTTACAGGGAATGACATTTAGGACAATGAAGTTTAACTGACTGAAAGAGTCTTCTGGGCTTATATGATCTCAGTTTTGCTCGGATGCGATATTGATGAGGAGCTTTTTGCTTCAGTATCGCACATATTGGGGTGTTCTCCAAATATTGATGATCTGTAAGTACTACAAAGAATTTTTAGATTAAGGTATAATAATCTACAAGAATAATAAGTATATTCGTGACATGAATCCCCTTGAAAATTTATACAATAAGATCCAAAAAGTTGTACTGTCAACCTTGTTAGTATTTTTGTCATATTTATCACTGTCTCCATCTGTCTTTGTCTCCCTCCACATATATATATAAACCTTACAGATATGTAATTCATTTCTGTGTGTGTGTGTGCGCATGTATACATACATACATATATATGAATCATTTGGGAATTATCTCCAGACATCACACCCCTTTATCCCTAAATACTTCAGTGTGTATTTCACAAAAACAAGAAATTGCAGTGACATAATACAGTACAATTTTCAACATCAGAATTTTTAATATTGATGTAATATTATCACTGAATCAGTAGACTTTATTCAAATTTCTCCAACTGACCTCATAATATTCTTATTCAGCATTTTATTTCTGGGTCAAGGATCCAATCCTGAACCATGTATTTCATTTACTTCTCCTGTGTCTTTGGACTTTGTTAATGTAGAATGGTTCCTCAGCTTTTCTTTGTTTTCCATGATATTGATGTACTTGAGAGGCCATTTATTTGGGTGTTCCTGGCTTTCCTCACAAAATGATACAAATTATGCACTTTTGGCAGGAATAGTATATAAATGATACTGTGGCCTTCTCAATGCATCTCATCAAGAGGCATATGATAGTGTTTTCATTCTTGGGGATGTTAACTTTCTTCAGTTGGTTAACATGGCATTCAAGAAATTTCTCCACTATAAACTTATTTTCTCCCCTTTTTAACTAATAAGAGAGTAACTGGGAAAATAGAAATATCCCAATCTTATTAAACATTAAAGATCCCGCTAGTTTCATTGGTGATTCATACAATTAAATCAATTATTATTATTATTATTATTATTATTATTGTTGTGATTATTTTAGAACCCTAGAATCTGCTATTTTTCCTAGCAGTCCCCGATTCCATTTAAGGAGGCATATTATTTATAAAACAGGATCTATGCACTGAGTGTGTTCTTTTCAATGGAATGCCATTGTTTCTATGGCCTTTTGTTGACAGAACTTGATAGAACTAGGACATACATGCATACATGTTCATACCTTTACTTACACACATCATCTGCATAGAATATATGTATGAATATGTATATGAGTGAATATATACAAATATACATCTATATCTATTTCTGTATCTATGAAACCATGAATATATACTGACACCTCAAATTTCAATACAATACCACGAACTTCTTTCTTCTAGCCTTCCCCCATTTCACAGTTACATATCTGTTCTCCAATAATGAGAAACTTGTATTTTATAATAGTACATTATAGAACATTAACGGACTTGTGCTTAAAATTTTTCAAAAACTTTTTAAATCTAAGTGGAATTAACAGAAAGAAGGCATGTGATAAATTAATATCACTGTTTACATTAAATTATAGTTTTTAGGCATATTGTAAGGAGCTATCTTATGGACACTCCTAAATTCATAATGTGAACTGATTAAAATTAATATATTATTTTACATTCTCAAACTAAAAATAAGCCCCACTGTACTATTAAATAGTATATGTTTTATGAATCTTACAGCTCTCTAACTTTAAATACATATTTAATGTAAAAACATGTATCTTTCTGGGTACCATTTTATGTGAGTTAGAATGAGATAAAGGAATAAAAGATAAATACAGGCCTATGAGTATTTTTGCCCTTACAGATATCCGCTCTCAGTATTAGATGGAAACGGATTTGTTGGTATGGGTAAGAACTGGCTTTATATGCTCACTATTATGCCCATATTTCAAAAGTGAAATGTGGTCTTACTTGTAGCTGATAGTTGTTGACATCTTTCTATCTCATATAGTGATACTGATCCAGAACCTATAGGAAATAGAAGGTAAAGGGAATTATACAGTTTTGGAATCTATTAAAAATTCAATGTGGTATGGAAAACTATACAACATTGCTGAGAGAAACTGAAAATGATCTAAACAAATAGTAAAATATGCCATGTTAAGGGACAGGAAGGTTCAATATTGTTCGGATATCAATTCTCCCCCAAATAATCTATAGATTCAATATAACCCTAATCAAAATTGCAAAGAGCTAACTGTAGAAAGAGACAGATTCTATAACTTAGGTGGAAATACAAGAATCTACAATAAATCTTGACAGAACAAAACGGGAAGACTTATAACCCATGACTTAACGACTTAATAAATCAAGCCAATACAGTACTTGTTATTGACCATCTAGCTAAATAATGATGTTCATTCTGAAATGTTTAGGAGGTATACTTATGTCTGCAACTTACGTGAAATGAATCAAAAAGTAAGATACAATAGATTGGTAGAATAAGAGAGATAAATAACAGGGGACATAGAGTAGCAGGTTAATTGGAAAAACAGATGATGAGTATGTAAGTGTTGACTGTACAGTTGTTTCAGCTTTTCTGTATGTTTGAAAATTTTTATCATTTTGGAAAAATAAAATGTGAAGGAACTAAAAGAGGTAGATAAATAAGCTCACTTAATTTAATAGGATGACTTGATAAACACCATAAAATAGAATTTTACTTTAACAAGAAAGCAAAAGTAGTTACGAGTTTTAAACATGCTTTCTAAAATGAAGAATTAAAGACTTTAAAAAATATCTATATTGTAATTACTTTATCTTACATTCTATTATATAGATATATAATAATATATTGTTTTTATAAGTTATGGGGCATGATATACGAACATATGCAAATGTCTTTCTTCCTCAATACAACTAATAAACTCCATAAGAATCCATGGCAAGAGAACAGGAATGAACAAGTTAAGCTGGCAAAGAATAATTCAATGAATCTGATTACTTAATATTTGCCATTCTGCATGAAGTGAAAACAATGGCAAAAACTTTAAAATTAGTCAAATAATGAGAAAATATGTGTAAAATATATACATGGTCTCCCATAAACTGATAAAGAAAAAAGATAAAGAAGAACCTGACAGAAAAGAGCTGACAATTCAAAGGAGTAAGAAGGGCCGATAAATACAATAAACTTTTTAAGTTTCTAAGTTCTTGGGGAAATTAAATATCACTTTATATCTGCCAAAATTCTTAAAAATTACATATATTGTTAACCTCCATTGCTCTCTTACAATGTTATTTGCATATGAATGCTATGACATTTTAGCATATGATTTGGTATAATTTATAAAAATAAAAATGTGCTTACTCTTTTATCCATCAACTTCACTTTTAGGAGTTTATTTTAGAGAAATAAAAGCATGAAAGTATAACTGTTCAAGGATGTTTAGTAAAGCATTATTTGTAAGAACAAAACACTGGAAATAACCTGAATGTCTATCAAGTGGAAAATGGCTGAATTAATAACATCAGATTCATATTACAAAATATAATACAACTGTTAAAAGAATAAGTTTGAACTATTTAAATATCCCAGAAAGAGGTCTATGATAATGCCACTGGTATAGGAGGGTCCCATTTTTGTAAAAATTTTAAACAGACGGAAAAGTCATGTCTGTTTATGTAAGATATATTTGTATAAACATGAAGGCCTGAAGGAATCACACTATACTATTAACTAACTCAGGAAGTAGCCCTAAAGGCACAGGAAAACTACGTAACTTCATATTATGACTTGTATTACTTTTGTAATTTAAAATTAATTTTAAAATCCTTTTAAAAGGAGGAAAGAGATTTCCAAAAGTGTAATTGCTAATTATGCTGTCTCCAAATGACTGTCAACTGAGCTAAACTGGCCCCCTAATGGCTGTTTGAGCAATCACAGCTCAGGGTAAAATGCCATCACCAAGGTGCTAAGAAATGTGGAGAGTTTTGGCAGAAAGAATGAAGAAATAAATTTAAAATATATGCAAAAAAAAAAAAAAAAAATCAGAAAACCTGCATTGGAATCTGACTGGCTGTGCCATCAGTTAAAAGCTAAGTAACCTTCCCTCATTTCACTCACAGCCTCAGTTTCCTTTCTGTAAAAAGTAGAAAATAGTATCAAGCTCATAGGAGTGCTGTTAGGATTAAATAACAATGCATGAAGGCACTTACTAAGTGTCTACCAAGCCATGTATATTAATTTAAATGCTTATCATTACTGTATAGAAAGACAGTAAATACCTATAAAATGATTCTATGGATCATAGCAGAGGAGTTAGATTATAAAATACAATATACATATATATACACACACAAGATAAAAACATGACATAAATTCTGGGTCCCAGAATGTTCAAAGAGCTATTAAGACAAAAGTGGTAAAAAAAAGAAAAATCGTACAAATTGAGTTTTAAAATTTAGAGATTTGAACAGTCACTTATTTGGATAGATAACAACATAAATGCATAATCAAGTGTTGATTAATTTTATAATTAGGTATTTGAGTAACTCCACAAAGTCTGAAAATCATGTATACATCTAAGTTATGATGAAAAAAATTCTTAGGCTGCTTGAAATACAACAGCAAAGACAACTTTTGTTCCTTTTAGATACTAACATGCAAAAAAATAGTTGCCTAAGGAATTAATACAGATTTTTAATTAATGAATAAATACATACATATACACATAAACACATATGCAAAAAATACTATGTATATCACAAATCAAGTAATCCATACTACCCCTATTTGAAAATCTAATTATACAAGTAAGGGCAAAACAATGTTTACTTTTTTTACATAGGACACAAAGATTTAGTGTGTTCTTTTACAATGAATATGGGTTTAACAAAAGACAAGAGACAGAGATAGAAAGATATTAAAATGGAAAATTGATGTTAATAAAACCATCTTACTTGGCAGAAATTAAACTGTCAATGTTAAAAATTGTCCTTACTTGTTGGTACGCTGTCCTCACATTCTGATTGACATATACCATCTGAACACTGATTGGCTGTCAAACTTGCACATTCTAAAACCCTGTAATTGAAAGAATATATGTGCAAATTGCATAAAACAAAGTCAATATGGTCAGTTTAGCTTTACACATAGGAACCAAGAACTCACTAAAATTGCATAAAAAATTCCGTTTGTGTGTATGCATTCCTCAGTAAAAGGTCTATATATTTGGAGTTCCAAGGACCCCCCAAATTAAAAAAACCTGAGTCTAGAAGGATACAAGGTAACAGTGGGATGATGAAATACTGGGAACAAAAACAAGTTGGTAATTTAATGGATAACATTCTCCAAACAATCTCTCTTGATTCAAGAAGTAAAATATTATGCTGCTATATATTACAGTATGAGGAAGTAGTGAAACTGATGTAAGATTATTATAATAGATGTTAAAATAGCCAGTTTAATTGATTTTAAAGTCATTGGTTTCAGTATATTAAAATTTAGAAAACATCTATGTCATTTCAATATACTGAATGGGATATTTTCTGTATTTCTTTGAAAATATGCAGATGTATTTTCCTTTCTCTAGAATACTAATCGCAAAGTTTCTGTACACAGAGACACTAGAAATACATAAGGAGAAAGAGCTGCATGTATAGCAAGATTTAAGGTAATATTCACTTTCTGGAGACATCTAAAAGTTTTAAAAATATGATACCCTGAAACACTTTGGTTACCTATCTTATCAGCAACACACACTTTAGAAAGGCCAACGCATGATCAAGTATGTTTGATCAAGTATGTTTGGAATGGTAGATATATATCACGGCATGATCAAGTATGTTTGGAATGGTAGATATGTATCAAGTTTTCCAAACTTCAGCTAAGCTCCAATTTCCACTCTTTGTTGCTGTCCTTGGAGAATGTGGCAAATGGTAGAACAGCATACACAAGAATAGACCTAAGCACGTTAAGTGGAAACCTTAGACTATATCCCTAGCTCTGCTACTATTTAGGTATTTGAGCCTACAATCACTTGACTTCTGTTTCATTTGGCTGATCTCACTAAAAACAAAATGGATAATGCCACAGAAGGCTATGAGGGTCAATGACAAGGAACCTATCAGATCCCCCTTACCATCTCATAACAATCATCTTGAAAATCAGTTTAATATTTTAATTTACATTTTTTAAAATAGGTATATAGTAAGCTTACTTTTTCAGCTGATCCACATCAGAGTTGCTTTCTGGTAAGACTCTGATTCCCCGACCGTAACTGGTGCCTCCATGGAGATGAAACTCTAGAGCTAACAATGTTGACTGGTTTGCTGAATTCACTGACTGAAGTTTGGTATGGAGGCTATAAATCCTAAGAAAGCTTCCAACCTAAAAAGAGATTATTATCTTTTTTAGAAAATAGAAAAAAATCAAACAGTTGCTGGTACTCAAAACATTTAACAACTATATGGAGTACAGCCCAACAACTAGGGGCGCTGACCAATCAGAAAAGATACTGGTATGCTATACTGGTGGGGTGTATACTGAATATCAACCCCGAAGACACTGTGCCAAAACCAAAATGGCTGTAGGCAGATGAATATATATTAAAAATGGGCCATATTTCTACTTTAGAGATATTAAAGTATGAAATAAGATTCAGCCCTGGCATTGGTTAAAATACAGCAGTTAAGAAACCCATACCCTAAATCAAGTCCAAGCCCTCTATTTGATTAATAAACTATTTGATTAAGGTGTCTGAATATAACTTGTATTAAGTATTTTAAGGCAAGATTTAACTAAGTATGACTACTAAAACACTCTCATTAGGAAAATATTAGAAAATAATTTAAAATCTGCTATATATCAAAACAATACATCCCTATTCTACAAGTTTATGAAAACTTTTACAGTAAACAATGTATCTGTATATCACAACGTGAATCACATTCTGTGATTTCAAATATAGGATTAAACAATAGTTTTGAACGAAATGTTCTATAGTTAATTTCTGTAAAGTTTTGCTAAACTTAATCCTAAAAATACCTTTAGTTATAGAGTACTTAATATGCTTTTAATGTAGAGGACTTAAAATGAGGAAAATGGAGATTGTCAAAGAAACTGACACCTACTCAAAAGAAGTTATATAACCTAAATCATATTTATTTTTATGAGGAGTTACAAACAAAATGAGTTACTAATTAGACATTTTAACTTATTTGCATAAGACAGCACTCTTTACTGCTGATGACTGCGGGAATACAATTCTCTTTTTTCCCTTCAAGGTCAGAACTGAACAACAGTGGTGAGATTCTATGCAACAGCAGCTATACAAGGGGGAACATAACGATGATGAGGTAATAAACCGGCCCCCCACCTCTCTTTATTGCTGTTTCAGTTAATTGCATTTCTGCTCCCCACACTCTGGATTTGATGCAGAGCAATGGGAGAACAAAAGTAAAGGGGAAAAATCCACATTCCCAGATGCTACTCATCTTCATTCCCAAGGGTCTTCATCCCTCCCAACTATGGATTTTGTAAGGTGGAGGTAAGGCAGTTAGTTTTGTCTTCTCTGACTTTTTCCACTAACACCTACATCACGGCAGGGGAGCAGGGCAGAGACGGCATGCGCACATACACACACAAAGAGAAACTGGCTCTCCTCACGGTATCCAAAGTAAGATACTAAAAGAAAATATAAAACAGTCTATTTCTATTTACTTTTATCTGACTTTTCTGAATATTTATTATAATTGGTGATTCTTTTATACTATACAGAATTACATACTATACATTAGTACAGTACATGTAAGTCCCACAAAGGACTTAAAGAAGGGTAAACACGAGGATTATCATATTCATAAATGAAAAGCTTCAAAGTTATGAAGATAATTTCCCCTTAATCTTTAAAAATCAATGGAATTTTGATCAAAATCTTCAGTGTCATAAAATTTGAAATGCTGCTCTGAAAATGTATATGAAAATGAACAGCCAAGACAATTTTGAAGGCTAAACTGGGAGTGCAGCTTTGACTTATGGAATATCCTTTAAAAATAAAGGTATAATAATTAAGACAGTCTAGTATTAAAGCAAATACATGTATAAATATAAATAAAGCCTAAAAATATAATGTCAAAGAGCAAAGCAAGTTACAGAATGACATATACAATGTACATTTTCAGGCAAAAATACATAAAAACATAATATACATGGATTACATACCTACATGTTAGGATATGTAGGAAAAGGAGATTGGGGAGCAAAACATGAGAATAAGCAGTGGTACAAAGAAGGCTCAGCATGTGTAGTTTTATTTTTTAATAATTAAAAGTACCTAAAATAAGCGTGGCAAAAACATTTAGAAATGTTAATTTGAATGCCAAGCACATCAATGTTATTATACTATCTTCTCTACTATTTTATTTCAAAATAAAACAAAATTTAAAGATCAAGAGAGAATTTATTTATATAAACAGGCTATAAAGATGATGGATTGTTATTTCCAGAAATTCCTTTTGGAGGCAGTATTGTATATTTTTTAAGCATGTTAACTATACTTAGGAAATATGCCAGGTGCTCTATTATAATAGACAAATATTGCTTAGCTTGTTAGTAATATAAGATTCCAGAAATTGGAGGGAGTCATAAACAATTATAAAAACTATAAAAATTTGTTACAAAAGCCCATTTCGATGCAGAAACATTAAAAATAGAGCAAGGTAAACAAGGGTATTAAGAAATCACTAGCCCTTTAAAAATAATTTAAAGATTCCACATAAGCTCTCATGAATTTCACTGTTTAAGTTTAATATTTTTAAAGACTCCTATCTATATGTCCGAAAATAAGCAGTCACATTATAGCTCTTGGGTCGCTGAAGGTGAAACATAATTATTACTACATGTATTACAATTATTTTTAAATTGTGCCAGGATAAGATTGGGGAATGAAAATACACTGTTTTAACTTCTAGACAAAAGGTTTAATATGTCTATGAGTGTGTGTGAAATGTTTAGGTAAGGAGATAACTTAAGAGCAAGATTTAGAATAAATGTTATGGGCAACTTAGGCTATAAAATGTGTTATATATATGTCAATTATATTTACTTTATAATTGCTTTAACTGTCCTCTTTATTTTCAAAAAGCACATTTTTTTCCTGTTCTTAGACAATAAAAATGTGTTTCATGTATTTTGGTAAAATAATGCAATTTTAACCAGTTGTCTATCTAAGTGCTGATAAAAATTCATCTGTATCAATGTCATCTGCCTCTGGGATATCTTAAATTAATATGAAATAGTTGAGATAAAGGTTGTCTCAGAAAAATAAAATGTGATGTCAATGTACATTATAAAGCCTACAGTTATATTACTTTTACAGAGAAAAATCCTTTTCATTTTTCTATAATGTTGCAGATAAATGTCATATCTTTAGGAAAAAATTTGGCACTCTGTATTTTAATTGTGTACTCACAGCCCCCTCTAGTGGGTGAGATGAAGCAGACAAAAAGGGAGATGGAAAAAATTTGAAAAATAATCACAGTACTCATTGATTCACTCATTTACCAGGAGGCAGTATTCATCCTTACTACATGGTCAGCACTGTGCTGGCTGCTATGCAGGAGTTGGATAGGGAAATCAGGATGACTGAGGGGAACAAAAAGACATATAGAAGCAGAAAGGGAAGGGCATTAAATAGTGAAAGTAGATGTAAAATGTAAATCTTTTTCACTAATAAAAGGAACCTATACTTTTAAAAGACTTTAGAACTAGCTTCAACATTACAATTTCTCAAAATAATCAGTGTACATAAAATCCGGGAAAAGCATCCAAGGTACATCTTCCACAGTCAATTTTCTCTAACATGTCAGAATTTGTGCTCACACATAGGCATAAAGAAATAAAGTACGGTTATCACCTTCTTAGACCCTGACTTTAAACTAATTTATTGATTTGAGTTTATTTGCAACACAATGTGCAAATGGAAATATTTCCTCCTCCAAGTACATGTATTTACAAAGGAAAACTGGGTACTAAAATTCAGTTCTAAAAACTTGAGAATCACTTTTAGTTTTTCTCCTATAAGTAGGCTGTATAATTTCCTGGAAGCAAGCTGTAAAACTAATTCCCTAAAGGTGGGATGGAAGCTGTTTGCAATAAAGAAAACCATTTCTTTATACTGGTTAAAAGAACTGGCTCTGGAAATACACATTGTAGATTCAAATACCGGCTTCACCGAAGTAGCTGTGAATTCTTGGGCTTAACCTGTCTGTTTTCTCATTTATAAAATGGGAATGATGCTAGTATCTACTGCACAGGATAGTGCGAAATACAGATGAAATGCTTAACAAATGCTATGATTATTATTGTTATTATTAATGATGTAATGCTTTGCTAGAAAGAGTATTTCCAAATAAGATATAATAAAATGAAAAAAACCCTTAAAATATTAAGCAAAAAATTCCATATATAAAGTGTACTTTTACCTAAAACTATATCCCTCAAACAGTGTATAATACATGCACACAAATGAAGACACACAATTTATGACAGACATGGATTAACAATTTCTTAAACTAATAAGTACAAAGGCTAGATTTTTATCAAGCCAAAAGTTAACAAAGCTTAATGTTTAAATTTACAAATATTTTATAAATCCCTTGTCATTTTAAAGCAATATAGCTTACAGAATAAATTATCTTTATTTTCACAGTAAAACTGCATATACATTTAAGATGTTCAGGAAATGTTCTTTACTTTTAAAAAGTTGTTCAAGCCATTATATTTTAATACATTAAAATTTTATTTTGAACATACATTTTCAAATTAAAAAATAAAGAAAATATAAATTTGGAGTTAATTTCTAGACCTCAAACATCATGTATAAATGTGATTTACCCCTCCAATTTACAAAAATAAAAAAAATAGTAAAGAGCTTGCTACTCAAGTTCACCTTCAGAGATTTCGCCACTTGAACATGGTTGTCATATACTAAAATGTCCACTGTCAGATTCTGCAGCCGATGGATGTGACTTAAATCGCCATGAAAAACAAGGTCTTGTATTAAGACTCTCCAGGATGGGTACGGTGGCCGGGTGCCATCCCACACCTGCCAGAGAAGGTAGAGCAAAGTTTAATAACCTTTTTGTAAAACTGTGCAGGTTAAAAGATTTTTATTTGCTGACAATGTAACTTAAAAGTAAATATCTGCTAACCTTTACATATGACATACCCTTTTCTGATTATAAAAAGACCTCATATGGAGAGGTAATATGGAAAATGTAAAGAAAAGAGATCAAACTACTATGACTGTAGAAAAAAATATTAACAAATTGTTGAACTTTATTTTTCTTCTGTGTATTTATGTATTTTTTTTAAACAAACTGGAATTATATTCTGCCTTTTGTTTCTTAGTGTATTGTTGAGCAATTTATCAGGGAATTTAAATATTTTTCTATAATATGATTTTCAATGGTTTCACATTATTTTATGGTATGGATTCAAATTTATTAAACTAATAATCCCTTTATTGGTCATTTGAGTAGTTCCAAATCTCTGTTATTTTAAATAATTTAGTAATTATCATACTGTATATAAACTTTTATAAGTAGTTCTGCTAATATTCTAAAGTATAAATTCCTAGCTTTTAGGAATGTTTGTTCAGTTCATTCTGATTTGGAAAAGGCCTTTAAAAGTACAGATAGGAATATTTTGCTTATGAATATAAATGAATAAACACCATGGGTTCTAGAATGGGAGAAGGTACGTTGAACTGCTATGCAAGCAGTTCAGGAACATGGGCACAAGACAAGTAGGTATGTAACCCCATCCTTAAGACATGAGCCAGCCTGTGCCGTGCTAGGGTTTTAAGATATAACCCAGGCTATGTTATACTATAAAAGTGTATGACAAAGACATCTGGTATGAGGTGGAATGCCTCTGCGTGTCAGAAGTTTGGCTGGACAAAAGTAAACAGGCTATTTGGATAAAAAACAAAAACACTACATTTCTGTAGAGCAGGTGTCTGAAAGTGTCAGATTACGGAGGCAGTGCTGAATAATGGTGACATTGCTAAGTTACAAATAAACAATTATGAGTTTGTGTCACTCATTCTGTTCCCTAAGTAATTCAAAAAACCAGTACAATTACTTTGGGAGCAGTTACATCATACCTCACATTTTTTTCCACTTGGATTTTGTTCTTTGACTGTTTTTGTGACCTTAAAATGGCTTTACAGACCACAATCCACAAGTCTTTTGAGGGAGAGAATGAGAGTACAGTGTTGCTAACTGCTTTTATGCTCCAGTTTTAATTGCCTAGAAATCAGACTTTTATCAAACATTCTTTACCAATTTGAAATGTTACCATGTATTGAATTATTATAGATATAAGACTGTTCCTGAGGTTCCTAATGTTTTCCATTGACCAGTCTTACTATAGCTTTAATTATAATTGCATTGCAGGTTTTAATATCTGATATGGAGCTCCCACTTGGTTTTCTTTGGTAATCCTTTCTCTTTTTATTCCTGATCATTTAATGTTTCTAATAAACTTCAGAATTATAATCAATGTAAAAAATGTGGTTTTAATTAAAATTGCATTTTATTTAAAAACACTAGGAAAAAATAAAAAAATTTTCAACAGGTCAAGTTTTCTTTAAGCTCCTCAGTAAAGTTCTGTAGTTTTCTTCACATTAGTTCAGGTATTTCTTGCATGAACTTTCTTATTTTACAGTCATTGAGACTTTGAAAGTGCTTTTGTTATCTGTTCTATTTATTAGGTAAGTATGAGAGTCATGTTTTATTGTTTTAAACCAGTTAGTTCACTAAACAATTTTATTTATCGAAATAACTTTTCAGTTAATTGTTGGAGTTTTTATATCTTGAGTACTTCTTCCATTTTCTTAATAGTTAAAATTCTCATTTCTTTTTCTTACCTTAGTGAATTCCCCAAGACCTCCTGTACATTTTATTTTATATATTTATTTTTTATATCAGGATGAACAACATTTTATAATAGAGAAATAGTGGGTCTCCTGTCTTGTTTCTGGCACTATTGACTCTAGAATTCAAACACTAAATACTGTTTTTTTTTACCATATGACAGAAATCATTTACCAAGAAGGCACAGTTCTATTTTTTAAAAACCCTTTAATGTGTATGCTATTACGGGCGTCTCACTTTTCCCCCTTTGCCCCCTTGCCCCAGGCCTCTCTTCCCACAGTCAATCCCCACACTGTTGTTCACAACAGTGGATGATGCATAATGTTCTTTGTCTAATCCCTTCACCTTATTTTGACCAGTCCCACCCTCCCCATCCCCTCTTACAGCTGTCAGTCTTTTCCTTGTTTTTGTGTCTCTGATTCTATTTTGCTCATTAGTTTATTTTGTTCCTTAGGTGCCAGTTATAAGTGAGATCACATGGTATTTGTCTTTTACTGCCTGGCCTATTTCACATAGCATAATAGTCTCCAGTTCCATCCAAATTGCTACAAAAGGTAAGAATTCCTTTTTCAAAAAAAAAATTTTCTTTACTGCTGTGTAGTATTCCATTGAAACATACCATGGTTTTTTTTCTCCACTCATATACTGATGAGTGCTTAGGCTGATTCCAAATCTTGGTTATTGTAAATAATGCCACTATGAACACAAGGGTGCATAAATTCTTTTGAAGTGGTGTTTTGTAATTCTTTGGATATGAAAAAGTGCTCAATATCATTAGCAATCAGAGAGATGCACATTAAAACCACAATGAGATACCACCACACACCTGCCAAAATAGCTATCATTAATAAGTTAACAAACTACAAGTGCTGGTGAGGATGTGGAGAAAAGGGAATCCTAGTGCACTACTGGTGGGAATGCAAACTGGGGCAACCACTCTGGAAAACAGTAAGGAATTTCCTCACAAAATTGAAACTAGAACTGCTTTTTGACACAGCTATTCCACTTCCGGGAATACATTAATTCTATTTTGCTAAGCATTTTCATAAATATTTTTTAAAAGTTATATTTATTTTCAGAGAGAGAGGAAGGGAGGGAGAAAGAGAGGGAGAAAAACATTGATATGCGAGAGAAACATTGATCAGATGCCTCTTGCACGCCCCCAAACAGGGACCGGGCCCAAAGCCCAGGCGTGTGTCCTGACTGGGAATCGAACCAGCGACCTTTTGGTTTGCAGAACAATGACCAATCCTCTGAACCACACCAGTCATGGGCATTTTCATAATATTCACTATTATGATAATGTAATTTTTAACATTCATGGAGAAGACTATAAGTTTCCTGAAATTAAGCCATTCCTGATTTCTAAAAATAAACATTTAGGTTTTTATATTTATAAATAAAACTAGGATATGTGTCCTTGTTTTGTGCAATATCTGAGCTCATAATCATTTTAGCAAAGTCAGTAATTTAAAAGTTTTTAATTAGATTTAAATTTTAAAAATAAAAGATAATTTAATGTAGACTCCTATTTATGAACATATATAACATTTTATGAAGTTTAAACTCCCTCAATATATGTAAATATTTCTTTGTATCCCTCCTTAATTTAGAGAATTCTTTCATCTCTTTAAAAATCACAATAACCTGAATTGGTATTTTAACCTTTTTGATTTATCATATTTTTCTGTTTTTTTTAAGAGTCACTAACTATGTTTAATGATTCCTACATATCTTTATTGTTAGGAAACAGGTAATTACTGTTTGGAAATGGGTACTTTCATTCATGAAGGTAAATTTTGCAAGAGCTATCAAAATTTCAAATGTACATATCCTAGAATCAGCAATTCTATTCCTAGCAATTTATGTTCACAACTCCATGAGCACCCATGTGGGATGACAAATGTTTAAATCAACTTCCTAAATCCATCTATAGGATGAAAGTTTTAAAAACATGCCATATCTCCATATGATACAAACAAAGCAAATGAATAGTGGCCCCCCTCAAAAAATTCCTGTCTACCTGGAACCTATGAATGTGATCTTATTTGGAAAGTGTTTCTGCAAATGTAGTTAAGTTAGGATAAGGTCATATTGGATTACAGTGGGTCCTAAATCTAATGTGACTGGTGTCCTTGTAAGAGACATAAGAGGAAAGAAGCCCATTTGACAATGGAGACAGAGACTGGAGTGACACATCTAGCAAGACAAAGAACGCCAGCAACCACCAGAAGCTAGGAAAAGGCAAGGAAGGATTCTTCCTGAGCCTGGTCCTGCCAAAATCTTGATTTTTGATTTCAGGCCTCCAGAACTCTAAAATAATACATTTATGCCATTTTAAACTGTCCAGTTTGTGGTAATTTGTTATGGTAGCCACCAGAAACTAACACAAGGAACCTTTTAGGTGGTTGTGTAGAAAAATCTTTATGATAAAAATACATTGAAAAAGCAAAGGCAGAGTAGTATGTATATAGTATGCTATCATATGTATACAAAAAGAGAAAAAAATATTTACATATGAACTATAACATGTCTGAAAACATATTCAAGCCCTGGCTGGTGTTGCTCAGTGGGTTGAGAGCTGGCCTGAAAAATGGAAGGTCATGAGTTCAATTCCCAGTCAGAGCACATACTTGGGTGGCAGGCCAGGTTCCCAGTTCGGGGCACGTGAGAGGCAACCAATCAATGTTTCTCTCAAATATCAATGTTTTACTCACTCACTTTTTCCCTCCTTTTCCTTCTCTCTTAAAAAAAGAAAAAAAAAAAGATATTCAAGTAATTTGCTTCAGTGATTGCCTAGTTTTTGGAAGAAGAGGCTGAGAAGATATGGTCAAGAGAGAAACTTCTCACTACATATTTAAAAACTTATTAACACTATATTCTTAATAAACTATCATAATTGATTTCTCTTTGAAACGACAGTATGTGGGGGGATATTGTCTTTTTTATTATCCAAGTTTTTGGTTTATAACATGTTTCAATTTATACATTTATTGATTCTAGCCAAAAGAATGTATTCTTTTAATGCCTCTTCTTGAGGAATAAATTTTTGCAGTAATTTTTCCATGGTAAAATTATTACCTTAAAATTCAAACTGTTTTCATTGTTAAATTACAAATATCCTATAGTGATTTCGATTACATTTGAGTTTAAAAAGAAATACACAATTACCAATAAAATAACTTTCACATTTTAACCCACAATTTTATTTCATAATGTGTTTGTTATAATACTGTTGATAAGAATCTAATCAGCTAATTTTAAAAAATGATTTAAACTTATTTGTAACTCCTGAGTTAAGTATTGTATACAAAAAAGAGAAAAGAAAAAAAAACCCCAAAAGGTCTTCACAAAAATTCCCATGTATTAATATAAATTACACAGTAAATTATAGCAGCTTTAAAAACTTATGATAATGAGTGTGATTTTTTAAATATAATATTTAGTCTTATTCTTAGATAAGTTATATCCTCTGTTTCCATACAAATAATTAAGTGATGAAAATAATAACAGTCCCTTTAATGTAATGATTTTCTGGTTTATGTTATTTTTTTGATCTCTAAACACCACTAAAAATTAGATACAAAAATTATCTACCAGCTCTAGCTTCCAAATGATTTCTAGCTGTTCAGAAACAACCAACCGAACAAAAAAAACAAACACTAGAAAGATGAGGCTGTGGATATCCAAGAAATATAAGAACTTAAAGTAAATCTAATTTAAGGGCTTACTGCTCAGAAAGCAAGTTGTGTAAATAGAATAGAAAAAAATGCGGATTAATGTTGGTAGGTCTACAGATATATTAAACCATGATTTTAATGCAAACCATTGGTGTAACATGTCTACTAATTAAAATGAATGTATCAAGGTTACTAACAAAGGGACCAATATTAATATCATATCCAGATTGAGGCAGAAAATAATTAACCTATATTCCATGCTGACCAGGTCTCATTTGTAGAATGTCTGGCTATTTTTCAAAAAATTTTTAAAAATTTTTTTAAACATAATTTTAAAAAATTACTTCTGGTTTGCAATAGGAAAACCAATTTCAGAAGGAAAAAATCACTTAAAATTTAACTTCCCAGAGATAAAGCGAGCACCATATTGCTATATTTTGTCAACATATGTATGCTATGTACATAAAACATTTTTAGTATATAAAAGCTGCCTTAATCACTAAATAGAATAACATGGATATCTATCTTAATAAGTATATGTCTACAATGTCATTTGATAGTCACAGAGTATTCCATAATACATAAATATTTCAAACAATTAATTCCCTATGGTTAGTATCTGAGTTTTTCTAAATTTTTTTCCTGTATGAAATATAAGACTAAATATCTTTTAATGTATTTTTCCACATTTTAAATTACTACTGTAAAATGAATTTATGAAAATAGAGTTGTTGAGTCAGAGAGTATAAAAGACTTGATATTTATTTAAATGGTCCTCGAGAAAGTCTTATTAATGTGATTTCTTACATTTACTTCTCAGTGCTGTATTTTAAAATAACATCTACAGGAAAGCTGTTTTCACTGATCTGAAAAGGCTATCTATAAAAATGGGATGCAACCTAAATTTTCTTGCTTTGGAGAGAAAAATGTAGATTCAGCCAGGTCAGCTAAAAGATGGCTGATTTTACCTCAGAATCTGAGACTTTTCGAATGACACAGTAGTCAAAAGATAGTGCATAGTTTTCTGCACAGCAAAGTCCTTGTTTTTGGAAATATTTCAGTAATTAGTAAATGCTTATTTGTTAAGGGCGTCGCTTTGGGCAGAAATTGTGACTGGTTGACGTAAGTTTCTTTTCTACTTTTGTTAGGATGATTTTATTGTAGCTTTAGCTTCAGCTTTTTCCTACCTGACTTATTTAACTTTCATTATAGCATGCATTACATTTTGAGAGTAATGTGTACATAAACATGCTATTTTCAACCTCAAAAACTTCACATCTTACTCAATGCTTTCTATCTTCAGCATTCCTTAGTATGGGTAAGGTAAGTGATAATACAGCTAAACCCCAGAATTTGTCCAAGCCCCACTGCACTCCATTTCTTGTCCCACTGCTACAAAGAGTCAGAAACTAAAGAAAAAAAACACAGGCGCAAGGCTGAAGCAGTGTTTGTTTAACTGCATCCTCCCTAGAATGAGCAGGTAAGGATAATATCAGACAACTGTCTTCTCCAGAAGCTATTTATAACTCAACTGGGTAGCTGTAAACAAAGATTAGATGGGTCTTACGTCACTTTTTTAATTCTGTTGATTTAAAAACCAAACAAAACATAAGGGCAATAAACACTTCAAAACTATCAATGATCTACCCATGAAGCAGGCAGAGAAATGACATAGGACAAAAACTCAACATCAAATGGCCAAGAAAGGAAATGAGAAAAAAAGCTACCTTGAGAGGGAATCAGAAATATGCATATGTAGAAGTGCAACTAAAAAACAGTAATATTTTTTAGTATTAAAATAAGAAATACATATTTTATTAGTACTAAAATAAGAACACATAAATATTTTATTAGTATTAAATGCATAAATATAACACAAACTATACTACATTTAAAATATAGATCTGATAATCCTATTTTTCTCTAAAAATATAGGATAAAGAAGAGAAATTCAAGAGTAAACTGCATGGATATCCAGGCTTATCAAAAATGGTTAGATTTTAAGTTCTTAATAATAACATGCAGTATGACTAGTTATTCCATCAGAATGCTAAAATATAAGCTCTTCACAGACATGCTGGTGGTGTCAACTTATAACTGCAAGTATCTAAAAATACCTACCTTTAGAAGAAATGATGCTCCATCCACTTCGGCTTTGCCCAAGAGCTGACAAGTCAGGTCAAAGTACTGCATTGGTTGAACATCACACAATTTTACTGATGTCGAAGAAGGTGAAATATGAGTAGATGCCCAAGCACGTAAGGTTTCTACCATCTTGTGGTCCTCAGTTGTAAAGTTAAAATTCTTGTTTGAAGTACGAGGTATGACAGGAGCTCCCAGAGTTCCCTCAAATGTCAAAGATGCAAAGCCAGAGCTGGTGATACCTTGAGTCTCATTTTTATATACTTGGATCTAAGAGAGTGGGACAAAGTGTAAAACAAAACAGAAACACACAAAAGTGCTTGCTGATGCAAAACTTGAGAGATTATAAAATTTTGCCAGTAGAGTTAATAGAGGGAATAATTTTTAAATGTTTCATTTATTTAGCATATGAAATACAAAATCAACTTGTCTCTATCAAGATCCCCAAGCACCATGTAACCTGTAAAACACTATGCAACCATGTAAACTGTAAAACACTATTCCTATTTTTTAAAGAGCTAGGTGTTAGACTCCCTAATTCCATCAAGCTTGTACTTTTACATTTATTAGTTTTAATTTATAGAAGGAAAAATAACAAGAGACAATTACTTAACAACCTAAGAGAAAACTAGAACACCTACAATATGTGTCTGAAGTCAACAGAATGCAGTTGAGGCTAGTTTCATCAGCCTGAAAGAGCTGAGATATGCCATTTTAGCTTTCTAAATTTTGAAGCTCAGTTATCAGATGCACATGCATTTATGATGGCTACATCTTTACAAAGCACCCCTTTTTTTGACCTTTTGACCTTATGAAATGCTCCCTCCTGATCTCTTGTAAATGCTTACATTAATGTAGTTATTTTATTTTCCTAATGCTTGCTGTTTTATCTTTTCTACAGTTTTACTTCCAACTTGTTTGCTTCACTTCTTGCAGAGATATGTTTGATTCTTGCTTTTTAATAAAAAAAGATTTATTTTTAGAAAGAGGGGAAGGGAAGGAGAAAGAGAGGGAGAGAAAACATCAACATGCAGTTGCTTCTCGTACACCCCCAACTGGGGACATGGCCTGTAACCAGGCACATGCCCTGACTGGGAATTGAAACAGCAACCTTTTGGTTTGCAGGCTGGTGCTCCGTCCATTGAGCCACACCAACCAGGTCTGATTCTTGCTCCTTATCAGTCTATTTTTTCCTTGCAAATTATGCAAATTTCCTTAGTCTATTTACATAAATTTAATTATTGAATGGTTATATTTAAGTCTATTATCTTACTTGTTTTCCTTATTTCCTTTAAAAATGTTTTTTTATTCTTTCTTTCCTGCCTTATTTTGAACATATTAGTGTTCCATTTACTTCTTCTTAGCTATGAATGAATCCTGAACATCTCAGTTGACTTGTAATATTATTCTACTACATACCTCCTAGTTTCCATTTTTCACATCCCATGTTACATTTTTTACTGAGAATGTAATAACTTCTTAAAGTCAGAATCTTTCAGTAGTATAATTCCTTTTAACCATCTGACCCATCCTTTGTTCTGTTACTGTCATACTTTTCTACATATTTTATATACCTCACCTTTCAATATTATTGTTTTACTTCTAAATAGCCATTTATCTTTTAGTAAAATTATAATTAGAAATTCAAAACACCGTCTTTCATACTCACTCATTAATTAACAGCTTTTCATCATTTCCTAATGATCAAGTTTCTAATAGCGTTCCTCTTTACCCTGCATACCACCATCCTTTACCATTTTCTTTGTAGTAAAGATATGCTACCTATGGGTCCTCTCATTTTTAATTACATAAAAATGTCTTTATTTTGCCCGAATTTGTAAGGTATTTTCTCTGGATACCAAATTCTAGGTGAATAAATTTTTTATCACCGCCTAAAATCCATCATTACTTTGTTCTTCAGGTGTTGTTATTCATGGTCAAAGATGACTGGTATCACTGTTTCCTAATATGAAATATGTCTTCTCTACAACAGCTGATTTCAAGATTTTATCTTTTTGAATGCCACCATGATTTGTTTAGATGTGCCTTTCTCTCCGGTACTGTGCACAGAGCCTACCTCGTTTCTTGGTTCTATAAGTCAGTATCTTCCATCAATTTCAAAAACAATTCTGGTCCTTATTTCTGTAAATATTTTTTGCATTCCTATTCTCTTCTTCTGTATCTCAAATGACATGTTTTACCACATAAGATTATTCCATAGGTTCCCTAAGGCTCACTCAATTTTCCTTTAATCCTTATTCTTCGAGTTACATAACTTCTACTGATTTATCCTCTTGTAAATGTGTAATATATCCAATCTGCTGTTTAGTCCATCCAGTAAATGTTTCATTTCACTTCATTTGCTGATCTTTCCAGTTACTCAATTTCTATTAGGTTCTTTTTTAGTTTTCACTCCTCTACAGAAATCTCTTATCTTGCATTAACCACAGTTTATTTAATTTACTGAACTTATTTTGCTTAATTCTTTGAAAATATTTATAACTGCTTTAAAGTCTTGTTTTAAAATCTAATATCTGGGCCACTACGAGGCTGGTTTGAAGTATCTAGGATTTTCTTTTTCTTGACTATGGGTAATATTTTCCTATTTCTTTTCATGGCTACTATTTTTTCATCTTTACTAGACATTGTGGATGATGTACTGTAAAGGCTCTGAATTTTGTTATCTTCTCCTGACCAACATTGATTCTTGTTTTTACTGGACTTCAGTTGTTGGATCATCGCCTTGCACACATAAAGGCATAGCTTTATGCTTCATTAGGAAGAATCTGTGGAAAGCTCACAGTGTTTCCCCAAGTCCTTCTGTCTTGGTGGGACTTATCCTGCAATATTATCTTCCCCATAAAACTTGTTTTAGGCTTCGATAAACACATCTAGTAGGCTTTCCTCTAGGATTTGATCCTTTGTGAGGTGACGCCTTTGTGTCTCAGCTGACTAGCCGACACATTAAAGAGATACTAGTAAGTTTATCTCTGACTAGGTTAGACCTCCAGCATCCCACTGCTACACCCAGAGTATCTGTTTCATGTTTAGCCACTACGTGCAACCACAGAGCAGCTCTTCTAATCCTTAGGTAGTCTTATCCTGTCCACGCACAGCCCAGCATTATCCAGGTATTCATGGGCAACAACCCTACCTAGCAGACTTTTGGCTGTCCCCCTTGGTGTAACTCTGTTCTCTCTGGTGAACTGTCTCGAAGATTCCGGCTGCCTTGAACTCTGATCTTGGCTGTGTCAGCTTAGCAGGACCACTATTTTCTGCTTGCACTTCAGTGTGCTGTGCAACGGCTGGAAAACTGACCCCAAGCAGAGCTATGGAGACCATGTGGCTTACCTTATCAGTTTCTCTTTTCTCTCTGATCACAGCTGCCTGTTTGTTGTCCAATGCCTGAAAACAGTTGCCTCATATATTTTGTCCATTTTTGTGGATCTTTATAGCAGTAGGGCTAGTCTAGTACCAGTAATGCCTAAGTGACAGAAGTTCTCTGCAGATTCTAATCATATTTGTCCTATAACTGACCAATTAACTTGTTTTACACATATTTAAATGGGTTTTGTTTGTTGTATATGTATGTGCAGCTCTTTTTTGATTTGGGCTTTACTTAAATTTCCACTGATTCTTGGTTCTGTGTTCATCTTTCTTTGTATCACCAATTCCATGTCCACTAGTCCATACTGTTTACCAAAATCTTCTTCTGCCGACCATTAGGGTAACCACCCTAGTCAAGCCATTCCCATCTCAAGATTGTAAAACTGAAATAACCCCGTAACAGATCTACTTTCATGCCTATTCCTTAAAAATCCATTCACTGCTCACAGAAATGAGTGTTTTTTTCAAGCTATAAATCAAGCCATTCGATTTAAAACAGCCTAATGACTTCTCATTGAATAGAATAAAATCTAAACAGCTTACTTATAACAGGCAATATATGAACTAGCCTCCACCTTCCTCTCCAGTTTCATCTTCTACCACCCTCTCCTACAGTTGTTGACTATGATCCATTATGGCCTTCTTTGTGTTCTTACAATATCAGGCTCATTAACTATCCAAGGTTCTTACTACACATATTTTCTCCCACCTGCCTGGAAAACATTTTTCTTCCTATCTCAACAGAACTGTTCATCCCCATCATTTGGGCTTTGAGTCTTATGCCTCCTCATTAGAAAGACCTTTTCTGATTCTGTTTTACTTCTTTCCTAGCAGCTATCACTGTCTGAACTTACCTTGGCTTACATGTTTACTTTTAAAAGCGTCTATCTCCCTGCATTAAAACTCAAGACTATACAAAACAGGCACTCAAAAAATGTTTGTTGAAAAACACAAACAGAGAGACCGTGATTCTGTTCTATTTATATTTTCACTATTAACCATGATCTCCAAATTGTGATGAGCCAAAAAACCAAAAATAAGCAAACAAAAAGAAACCCAGGGGAAAAAAACAAAGCACACAAAATAGGTATTAAGAAACCCTGACAAGATGAGGGATGTTTGTATTTTTAATGGCCTTGTTCAAGTTAAAAAAAAAACAACAACCCTTTTAGGGCTATTCAAAACTAGATGAGCTATCAAGACAAAGAGCGTGAGACACATTGTTAGATCTAAATAGGAACATTTCACAACAATAAAGAAATCAATCTTATAGGAAAAAGATCTTAATTTAAATCTATATGACAATGCTCAAAATATAAAAAAGCATAAAATGTAGTTAATAAGTGAGCCTAAATCCAAGCAGAAATAGATACATCTGCCAAAGTAAAGTCTTGAAAAGATGCTCTCCAATAACTCACAAAATAAGTATGCACAAAACCAGAAAGAACACAGGTCTGAAAAACACAATTTACAAACATGATCTAATTTATATTTATGAGCATAATACCAAAACAGATTCACTTGAGTGTTCACAGATCATTTACTAAAATTAACTATATGCCAGGAAAGTGATTTTCAACCAGTGATCCCCAAAAGGCACAATGATGTTCAGCAAGAAAGTTAAAACATGCAATACCTGAGTATCTAGTTAGGGTCACTGACCTATTTTCCCTTAGACTGTCCAAAAAAGAAAAAAGAAAAAGAAAAACCTAATAAGACGACAGCCATACAGTGTGAATGACTAAATTATACCTATTCTTTTTGAGATTGGCAAAAAATATATTTTTAGTGTGCTGCAGATTTTAGTTATTAGTTTATGTGTGCCATTGATGAAAAAGACTATAAACATTCACAAATTTCTAAATATTGAACAGTTCAAAGTATGTCCTCTGACCAAAATATGCAGCAATAATAAAAAGCTAACTATAAAATAACCTAAATATTAAAAATGAATTTCTAATAAAAAATAATTTATAATAAATAATTTAAAGTATATTTATAAGTGTATTTTAAGAAGTATGTTGATTTCAGAGTAGCAATCAACTGGAAATTAGAAAATATATTGAACTGAAGGATAATGAAATGAACACATTAAGACTTCTTGACTAAAACTAAAGTAGTACATAGAGAAAAATTTATAAGCATAAGTGAATATTTTACAAATTAAGAAAGGCTGAAGATCAGAGATTCAGACTTCCCCTTCAAGACACTACACAAATATATCTCAAACCCAAGGAAAGTAGAAGGAAAAATTAAGAAAAACAGAAATATACAATAGAGAAAAATCAAAGTGAAAAGCTGGGATTTGGAAAAGGTTAATAAAAATGATAAACCTAGAAAGACTGACTTGGAAAAGAACAAAAGAAACAAATTACAATATCAGGACTGCAAAAAAGGATTTATCATTACAAATCCTAAAACATCTAAAAATAAATGATATTATGACCAACTTTATATCAACAAATTTGACAATTCGGATAAAACAGACACAAACTTTTCCAAAGTTAAGTTTACCAAAGCATTCTAATTGGTTACTAAAAACCTATCAATCAAGAAATCACCAGGCATGGATATCACCACCAGTGCTTTGGCCCAAGCATTTAAGGGAGACAAAACAGAAATCTTGCACAAACTCTTCCAGAAGTGAAAAAGTGGGGACATTTCCTGTTTTCATGAAGTAGCACAGCTTTAATTAACCAGGAAATTTTAAAAGAAGAAAATTACAGATCTAAATATAAGATAGAATAACAATAAATGACTTAAAGGAAAACTTAGGAGCCATCTTCAGAAGATAGAGCAAAGAGTTCTTCAACAGGACATAAAAAGTACTGACCCTAAAGGATGCACTGCATGAAGACAAATATTTCAGTTCTCATCACGTGTGAGAAATAAGCTATTCTGTGAAGTCTGAACAAACCTGTAATAGAAATTAAAAAATTTCTATTGTACTCTTTATGCACATATTCTGTACTATTCATCTATTCTTAGGGAAAAAGGAACTGACAGATCAAGAGAGGTAATTCCCACCATATCTAAGAACAGAACACACATGGAATATTGTGCTCCTTTGTAAGCATGATGTTGACCACGAGGGACACAGACTAACCAAAGTACTAGAAGAAAAAGAAAACCAAGATCAAGAAGGGGTTGCACAGAAGCCCGTGTAAGAAGGGGAAAAGCTAAAGTGACAAAAATGCTTACAATCTAAGGTACTGAAAATAGTAAAATACTGGAAAGCTGAGTTTTAAAAAATCACATACTATTTAATAGATTTACTTTTTCTATTAAGGGTTTTCTTATATTTAATTATTTAACTGCTAGCATACCTTTAAAAAATACCTAAGTCTGTTCATATTTTAATGCATTTCTCATAAATTATGATCAACTTCTTTTGATTTTATATTTAATATCAATGTTTTCATTGTACCTGAATTAATGTATAAGCACACAGGAAAGAAAAAATACTCTCTCCCAATACTTGTACACTTCTGTTGTTGTTGACCTAAGACTTTTTTAAAAAATAAAGTTGGGTGTCAAATTTTACATGGAAAAGATTTAAAACATTATTCTATGTTTAGAAGCAAGAAAACAGAGCACAACCAGTCTGAATCATGGCATCTAATACATTTCTGTGGAAAGTGGGCAGGCAGTTTGTTCAAATGAAGAGATTTCCTAATATAAATTAACTGAAGTCTGATACTACTTACATTTCTTCTTGTCTCTTGTAATGCTTGAAGTCATCTTTTAACAAAGCAACCATGTAATTAGTGCTAACTAGTTTCAGTGAACAATACAGAGTTCTCTTCAAAAAAATAAAAGTTCTAGACAGTATGAATTATACCTTCAGCCTGTGAAAGCGAACAATATCTCCATTTTTATAAATTATTGGAAGGCTTTCATAATTTCCACTAAAGAGCAGGCAGGTTAACTTTACATTTGTCTGGTCCACAATTGTAACAACTGAACAATAATCTGGAAAATACAAAAATATTTTACCTGATTGTTAGTATTTCAAAGGATTTGACAAAAGAAGAATAAGCTCAGTTCAAAATATCAAACAAACTTTATCCCTCCCTTTAATTAAGTCTCCTGAGAATAAGATAAAAACATAGACCTTTTTTTGCTCTCAAAATGCACTACAAAATTATTTTGCAAGTGTTCCACAAAAACTAAATTTTGTCAAACAAAAATTAAAATCTTAATATAAATTATCTAGAATGGCAATAACTCTTTATTACTTCAAAGTTAAAAAATCATGATGCAGGTAAACATATTAAATATAATACCATTTATGAAATAAATAAAAATTTAGAGTGAAAGCAAAAGACTAGAAGATATTTGCAACAAATTTGATGATGAAATCAATATACTGCATAAAGATCTTATAAAAACTGGTTATAAAAGCTAGAATTTCACAGTAAATATGTGATTCAAATGAGCCAACAATTCATTGAAAACTATACATATATGAAAAACAGTAACTTCAAATACTGGTGGTAATAAAACTGTAACATATGCTGCCTTTTAATATGTTTCAGATAATTCCACTCAAAAAAATTGTGCTGACCTCCTATCCTTCCTAGTAGTCTAGTAATTACAACATACTGATAGAAAAGAATAAACCTAGAACAGTGAAGGAATAGAAGGGAAGAGAAAAGTAGAGGACAAAAGATATCAACATATTTCAGGAAGATGGGAAAGTAAATGGTTAAGGAATAAAATGAACAAAGGAGACTGCGAACCAGAAAATATTATAAAATGGCTACCGCCATGATGGGAGCCACTGAGATTAAGAGTGGAAGTGATAAGTAGAGGCAAAATCAATGATAATTATAAGTTTACACATAGAATAGAACCACTGTTTCAGCATCCACCCATTCTGACCTCTACTCCCTGTAAAAATAACTTCATATAAGCAGGCACAGTATCTTAGTCTTTAACCCCATCACTTTCTGGAGCATAGGCTGTTTTCCATGTGTTTCACTGATTTACCGGAAGTGGAACCTTCTAATGTGGGTGCTACCACTCAGAATCCCTCCTTCATTATCATGTAAGTGGATCCACAGCCTGATAGCTCTCTCTCCACTCACCCTGAACTGACACTTTCAAGTACTGTCTCCATCAGATTCCCCATTCAAGGAACAGATCAAGTTGGAAAAGTAAACTTACATACAAAACAAAGGAGATAAATTTCTACAACCCAAAATAAACCTTATTTACATTTTAAAATGTAAAGACAGTAATTACCAAAAACAGGAAAAAAAAGAAAATGGGAAGGAAGGAAACTGGGAACTGGAAGAGAGGGGTGAGTAGATGAGCTCAAGAGTGAAGGGAAAGGGGAAGGAAATGGGAGAAGAGGGAAGAGAAGGAAGGCGGCAAGGAGGGAAAACAGAAACCTGATTCTGTGAGGGGGAAATAACTCGGAGAACATTAAAAAATACTTCAAAATAAAAACAAAATCTTAATAAGCATCTTTAAAAAAAGTTAAAAGATAATATGCTCATCTAGTTTATATATTAACAGGATCCACTGACCCTAACTTTAGTTTTTGAGTTTCATTTTTCAGTAGTGCTAATAATTTTAAGGAGTGTTGTACCATGACTTTTTTTGGTCTTAGAAGTCTTCCAAGATCACTAAAAAAAAATAACAAATTTTACTTTTTTAAATACAATAAAATATTCATATGGCATTGTCATATGGCTCTCACTGTACTTTTTTAAAATTGAAGATACATCATGTGATTTTAGTCATCTATTTCCCTAGTATATCATGAAATATGTTGCTATTTGATTATCTTACTAATTACTTCATCATTACTCATATCTATACTAAAAAAGACAAAACTGATTTTAAAACTGGGAAAATAATGAAATTGACTAGAAGAATGATATAAGAGAAATTAATCATTACTGCACTGCATCACTTAAAGAACTATAACACAATTCAACAAGATATAAAAGGAATTTGAAGACACTGCCTTTGGAGTTTCTTTTTTAGCTTTATTTAAATACAGTTAAGAATTCAGAACTGAAAAAGTTTTGCCAAGTCACAGAGAAGAAAACTGACAGACGAAGTCCTTTAACCACACTGAATGAATAAGAAACCAAATACAAAGACAAGGAATCACTTTAGATTCTACTGATAATGATGAATGTATTTTGAAAAAACCACAACCTCTCTGAAGGTTTTAAGTTATGTAAAAAACAAGAACAAAGAGGAGTTTAGCCTAACAAAGTCCAATTCAGGTACACATCATCAAACTTTGTTTTTACTTTTTTTTGTTTCTTGAGAGCTTCTGCAAAATCACATATCGCAAATTTATTTGTAATTGTGCAAACTCAAATTTCATATTTGTACCAAAAAACTATTTATTACTTATATTTACAATGTTATTTTTATTGCTGGACTTCTACACTAGTCCTCTCATTTTAAATGCTTCAAAATGAGACAGTTTTGTAAGTTGGGAATATAAGGCAACAAAACTGCAAATTTAATAGGCATAAATAATAATTAATAAATTTAAATATCAGCCAGGATGAACTGACTGAGGCAGTAATATAAAATCTCCATGAGATTCGCATAATTTTTAAGAGTATAAAACGCTTGAGAACCACTGATTTAGAGCAGCAACATTACATGTTATGAAAATAAATATTCATGAAGTATATAGATCACCAGAGACAAAGTCTCTTGCAATTTCTATCACAAATTACAAAAAAGTAAATAGTGGCCCTTCCCTCGTCCCAGTTCAGAATAAAAAGCAAATGAGGTTTAAAAAAAAAAAACAACCCATAAATAATGAATTGCTTGAAAGTAAAACTCAATCAGCCTGAACAGGTTCACAATCCCTCAACTTGATTCCATGGAACAACAGTTTCAGCAAATAAGAATCCAAGTGCATTAAAAAGGGTCCCTTGTTCAAGTAATTTCAAATGAAAATATCTTAACCATAAGCAGGTTCCTTTACTGAAATTTTTCAGAGGTTATGTGCAAATATGCATTGTGGTTCTCAAGAGATCAGTAAGTATGCAGAATTTCCCCCTTTTTCACAGAAAGTTTCACAGGACTGGTATTTCCTTTCACTAAAAAGGCTTTGTTAAAAGCTTATGTAGATTAGATCTGTAAGATATTTTAAAAGAAGTATTACTGAGAAAGTTGAATAGTTTAAAGCCTCATAAAGCCTCACTTGAAGAAAAAGGCAGCTACTCAACAGTAGAGTTTACTGCTGTCTTAAGACATTCTCTTAGGGAGTTCTTGCCTCTCCATTACTTACCCTTTTAATAGTCTACAGACACTTGTGTTTCTTTTTTGCCTTTTTATCTCCTTTGTTACTTACAAGAGTGCAAAAAGAAATTAAGAGTAAATTCCCATTTTAGTGCTTCATGAGGGCAAACTAATTTGACTTCTCCTATCCCTCCTGCAGCTGATTAGAAGAGGGATGGCATCCTTATTTGCCCAGAAAATGAGCAGGGGGCAAGTGCCATCTTACAGAATGTTTCCCAATGTGTGTGAACTATAAAATTAAGTACCCAAATAAACTTTGAAGCAACTGGGTGAGATAAAAACCTGGGTAAAATATGTAACCTTATAACTTGTCCTCAGTAATGCAACCTTTGTGGCAGGACCCAAAACTCCCCAAATTATCTTCTGGAGGGCAAGCCTCTTGCAGTACAGGCTTCCCCCGACACGGTAAGTGCTCCAGGAACCCATCTGTATCAGTGTACCAGCTGGAGTTGCTGTGAGAGGCTATGTTCGGCTGTCGTGAATCTTCTTTGAAGGCTCTTTCAACGTATTTGCCTGTTTCATACTGGGGGATTTACGAGCATGCCTGCCCACACCACGCTGAGTGTTCACCAGTCTTTGACCAAAAATGGCATGATCCCTGGGCCCCATCCTCCCTCTTCACCTGATCTTGCCCTGAACAACATTTTTTTGTTACCCTGGATGAAAAATTCCTCCAAGGTAAATGTTTTTCTAATGTGGGAGAGGTGAAACAAAAAATTGCAGAAGCACTAAAAGGCTTCATTTTTGATGAGTTCAAAAATCGTTTTGAGCAGTGGAAAAAAAAATCTCCATGGATGTATTGCATCAGATGGAAAGTACTTTGAAGGTGACTAAAGTTTAAATGTGTAAGAATAAATACACAATTTTTTATAAATATATTCTGTTTTTTGGGGTCCCTCTCATAGCAAAAGCCCAAAGGCAATCAGAAATGTCTAATTTAATTTCCATCTTCTTTATACTAAAGTTTATAGATATGTTTTTACAATTTACTACAAAAATTAGTATTCTGAACCAATAAAATAAAAAAATCAAAGCTTCTAACTTTTAAAGGCTGTAAAAAATATAGTTTTTTATTATCATTATGGACAAATCATATATCCATAAATTTGTACTACACATTGTGAACTTAAGTGAATCAACATGAACAAAATCCCATCCATTTCATTGTATGTTAATATTTTCCTGAAAAAGTTATAAATTTCAAATTCTAGCTATTGATAGTTATGGTGAAGTATTTAGGGATGATATGGACTGATATATTCAACTTACTCTGATGTGTGAAGTGAATCAAAAAAAGAAATGAATTAATGGATCCACTGATGATAGGTATATGGATAGTTGTATAATTCCTTCAAATAGTCTGTATATTTAAATATTTTAATAATAAAATGATTACAAAAACAAGGCTTTATATTTTTAATTAAATAATTTATGTATAAAGTATGAAGTTAAGTAGAACACCTTTATAGAATCTTTTGATCCATTAACTCCTCAAAAAACCCCGAATTAATCCTATCAGAATTTAAAATAAAGGTTCATAAACTTATCTCTAAAGTAGCAAGAAAGAATGTAGCTTACAGTATTATGAAGGATAATAATAAATGAATAAGCCATAGTTTTGATCTTGGTTCTTTTCTCCATGTGGAGTGTTCGATCTGTAACTCTCCATGAATCTTACTTTTAGTGAT